ATATATATACAAAAATTGCTCGTTTAATGGATAAATGTTAAATGAAATCGTTTAAAAAACAATGACACCCTCATCCACTCAATAGAATGCACTGCTTAAATGAAATGGTACACACATATAAATAACGACATTCATTTATCCAGAAATATAGCCTGCTATTTTATTCTTCTTCTATTTTTTATTATTTCTCTATTTTTTCCTGCCCTTATATCATCTTTGTGGGAAAGGTACAACGTGTAAATAATTAGGTTTTAAGCTAGGTTTTTAGGACCGGCCTCTCAATTTTATTCTGTGCTTAGCTTATTTTGCCTTGCACTTTCCTCTATCAGCCGTTTTCTGAATCGTCACCCCTTTCACAGTCATATCATTCTTCAAACAGTCCATCCAAATATTTCTCGGTCTTCCTATAGCTACATCCTACAATCACATTCATACTCATCACTCTTCTAGTCACATCTTTCATCCCTTCTCATAACGTGCCCATACCATGTCTGTATTGTTAGTGTATTGTAAGTGTAGACATAAATTATAATAGAAAAAAAAATATTAAATTAAATGTGTATTTTAATGTATACAACATTAAAGACACTGTGTATATCTAATATATAAAATTCTCGTGTCACGGTGTTTGTAATTGAACTCCTCCGAAACGGCTCGACCGATTTTTCGACCGAAATTTTGTGTGCATATCGGCCAGGATGGAGAATCTGACAACACCTATTTCCCCCCTAAATGTTAGGTTAGGTGGTCCACCCTAAACATTTTTTTTTCTACCCTATAAATAATTTATATGGCAAAACAACGTTTGCCGGGTCAGCTAGTTTAAAATAAAAAAAAGAATAAGGAAGTTTGGAAGGTTTATATAAAATATAATAAGGTTTATACTAAAAGAAATAGTAGAGCCATGATATTAAAATTATGTTTTTATTAAATTAGATGATTGATTTGAATAACTAAAATAACAAATGTCGTACAAATATTGATAAATCCTAAAACAAGGTTCGCATTCAAACGGAACATGTCAAAAACATCAACGGCTAAAGGCCATGTTTTGGTAACCTCACCAAATACCTTAGCTTGTTTCCTCATAACTTTGGGCAAGTTTTCATTTAATGTTACAGTATATAAAACAGTTTTAATATTATTCCTTACTACGCCAATATAATCACAATAGTGTGTTATAATAATTAATTTAAACAATTCATTTAAAATAATCAAAATTATCCTTAATATCACTTGTACACCTTTATAGTCTTTTAAGTGAAATAAGGTATTCCAAAAAGTTGAAATAATAACAACAAACGCAAACGTGAATGTCACTAATATTATAAAGTTAAAAAGTTTGTTTATTATTTCACAGAGGTCTCCTATAAGGCTGTATTGCCATGCAAGGTCTCGTATTTTATAATTTTTTAGAGAAACTGTTCCGATAAAATTAATGTTATTTTCCTGTTCTTTATTCATTGTAAAATTTTGATTATATTTTTTGGCTGCGCAACTTTTTTTATTATCTTTTCTTACAAATTGTCTTAAGTAGCAGTTTATTAACAATAATCTCTGTCGCAGCATGTACATAAATTGGCAAAAAATAAGAATCTCTACTTTCCTCTCGAAATAAAGTATAAAGAAAATTGTTAGTTCTACATTGCTCTCCATTCCTACAATGAAGTACTCGAATATATATGTTACAACGAAACATACAAAAAATATTATGACCAATTTTTTAGATTCTTTCCGCGACGCAGAATAGTAGTTGTTATTAATAATTGTAGCATGCAGCGAAACATCAACGATGGCAAACTTTGTAATCATTTTCTTATGTAGCTCCCCCTGACATGCCGACAGAACTGTCGTCGCTGTAAATTGGCCTGCAGTTAATACCCATGGGCATATGTTAATTATGATCTCCCAAGTTCCAAATATGTTGGCGCTCACGTATGAGTAAATGTAAAAAGCCAAGAAACATAGCACCCATGTTAAAGTAATCATAATACCAAGTATTTTCGTTCCAGTATCCACAAAAATCGAAGACCGTGAGTCTAAACGATATCTGAATTTTCCGTAGAAGTATTCAAGAGTCAACAAAGGCTTTAAACATTTAACTATAGTGGCAGCAGTAGATTTGACCAAAGCACTGTTTTCAACTTTCATATTGTTATATGAGACACTCACTTATTCGTACGTGCACTTTTACGTATGACACAACAATAAAACAAATATGTACAGTTTGGTTCACAAAATCTTGATATGAAAAAATGGTGTCACTTCAATCATCATAATGAATTATTGCATTGGACAGGCAATAAAAACTAGTTTAATCTATGTTTTGTCGGATTCATATTTCTCGGAATATTGAATAATGATATTGGGAGTGTGAATTTCAAACAAATGCTATCCCCAAAAGCAAAACGTTTGTAGCAACATAATCAGTTCACTTTTATTCTAATTTAACTATCTAAAAAATTTCATTTCTATAAATGAATAAACAATTATTTTAGGACACATTTTAATTCATGTATGTCATTATTAATTTATTTCGGAGAGTAAGTACATCAGGTTCGCTTTGAAGCAGCACTAAAAAATATAGCCGTAGCCCTAGTTTGTAAAGAACCAGTGTTCTTGTATGTGTTCCAGTAACAGCTTGGTTGCCAAGTACTTTATATAAGACACATCTTCCCGCTGCTTGTATGAATGAATGAATACAATTGTCCACCACAAAAGAAAGTATTATATATATATATATATATATATATATATATATAATTTCTGTTCATATATATAATTCTACAAAGTGATCGTGAATTCTCCGCAGATTTAGGAAACGTAAAAAAATACGCTGTAACGTTGACTTTTCACTATTCGCCCGCCGCGACAATCGCATGTGCGAATCGAATCCGCGTTACCTGCTCTTAATTTAAATTATCATTTAGTCAGACACAAGAACACACACACACAGACCCACGAATCAGCAATACGATATGACAGCCTGGCATTTTGATTTCCCGTTATCAGGAGTGGAATTACCAGTGATTCTCAGGAATGTCTAACAATACTCTGACCGTATTGTTTCTAACTTAAATAGTGAGTCCAAACGATGGCGAACGTTGTTGGAAATGCAACAACGTAGTATAATGGAATTAATTCGTGCTAAAAAGGAAACAAAATTAAAAGGTAAAACGAAACTGCGTTCCCGGAATTCAATCCTGATAATCGAGACGCAGGCGCCAAAAAAAAGTTAACTGGCGGTACTCTGACTATCGTCATGAGTATAGCACTTAAAGGCCCAGCAGCTACAGGGTTGGATCTAAATACTTTCGCTGGTATAATCTGGCGACATAATGAAAGCCCAAAAGACAGAGTGTATGTCGACTTACGTTAGTTGATTCCCGAGTACATAAATGAGCTTGAAATGAAATTGCATTCATTGCGTAACTTCGGCTCGCGTAGTGAAAATTGAACAAGTTTCCAAAGGCTAGCTAAAACTTAAAAAAACTGATACTAAATTGTAATTGTTACAAGAATTAATGGCGTATGCCCATCAAAAAAGAGGACTTCCTGTGACTGAAAAGTCGAATACTTATAATGACACTAAGCAAACGCGATTTAAACCAAAGAAATGTAATAACATGGCAAATGAATCTAATATCAGCACTAATTTCAAACTTCAGTTTTCAGCAACTAAAAAACAGCAAGAGGCGACAGTAGAGGAACAAAACATCGTCGCCTTCGTGTTACTACTGCAACGAGCTAGGTCACATCACCCCCGCTGTCCGATAAATGCTGCTGTCCATCGAGTAACGACCTGCAGTATGAAGGGAGCCACCGAGCACCTAGCAATATAATCCGGTGGGAAATTTTCATTTTGTTTTGATTCCAGTGCCTTGTACTCTCCATTTTAAGAAAGTTTAGAAAATAAAGCCGTATTAATAAGTGAGCTATGATAACTCAGTGTGAACTGAATATAGAATGAACGTAATAAAAGATTAAAAAGTGACTATATGTTATTAAAAAATCATGAGCACAATAAAATAAAGACAGAACCCAAATTTCCACCGTATCAGGTGGTTGAGGTGCTTGATGATGACAGTAGTAACTATGTACACAATCGCATAAGTCATATGTCAGAGAGCTAAGTTCCATTGAAGTTGAATTTTGGTTTGGAAACACCCATAAACAGTGTAAAGTCAGAATGTACCGTAACGGCGCGTTGTTACAGAGTTATAAAAAAATTATTATTTTCTTATTTGTTGTTAAATTATTCTGTTATTTTCTATGATCAATAGTTTTGTATCCGACTAGATGATAAATTTTATTGAGAGCGGGTAACGCCGAATGGAGTTGCGAACGCGATTGTCGCAGCAGGAGAACTTCAGAGCACTCGGATTTAGTGATTGACCGCGGTTGTACGTTGTGGTTAATCGTAAACACAATGGCTCTAAATTTTTGGTTATAATTGTAATCCCTTGTCGTTGAAGACATTAAAGTAAATATATATATTACCTCAAACAATATAATCAGGGATTGTAAATATAATATAAGCATTATGCATGACATAATGTCAATAATAGGATTTTAACGGCTAACTGATATTTGTCATAGCCGATTACAGGATATACAGGATTTAGAACATAATAAGTGTTGACAACACCATAATCAAAAACAAAAACACTAAAGATTTATAGGTTAAATTATTGTTAAAAATTTAAAAACAAATGTATGAAATACTTTATTGGAAGAACGGGCGAATTGTTTACTTGACCTCTGTTGAATATTAAACGTTCGCCACTATTAACGTTATCTGCTCCCGCTTTCTTTGCGCAATCGACTACTTGTTTTAACACATGCGTTATGTATGTTGCTGGGCAACGGGTGATGATTTTTAACGAACCACTCAGCAGCCTTCCCCTTCTCTGACGCGGTAAAGCTAGAGATACGCCGGAGACAGCGCAGTCGTGGTTCAGACAGTACGGTGCTACTACTCTACGTGTCACGGCGAAATAATGAAATACTTCACTCTGTTCGTTTTCGGTGAGTAATTCTTGTGGTGTCTTTGTTGATTAGGTTGTTTACATTTCAAAGGAGTCATTAGTTTTGTTATCTTCCCATTAAGGTATTAGATAATTTAAAATTAGTACATAGTAATTCTTTTGTCACCGTGGGAGGTTTTGAGGTGTCACAATGAAATCTTAGGCGGAAATATGGTTGTAGTTATATTCTCTAAGCTTTGTCCACGTTAGCAACATTAATGCAGACAGTGATATTTTGATGAGTTGAGCAAAAATATACTCAAAAATTGAATATGAAATATTCTTGCCTTAATTGGAGGTTGAGGTTGAAAATTTGATACACAAAAAACATAATGTTTCAAATGAAATTTTGCTATTATTAGATAATATGTACCTATTTAACTTAATTTTTAAAATTTTTATATTACAGTAAGTATATGTTTAGTTTTATATATGTCTATTATATCTTATTAATTGGTATATATTAGTATACAAAATATAATATATTCGTTTAGTTTATTTAGGTCTTAGTATGTAAGTTTATCATTTGCACCACCTACCGCTGTCCAAAATATTGTACTTTTAGCCACAAGGTTGTCTGGAAGAGATCGCTTTTAGCGATAAGACCGCTTTATTGTTACTACCTTCTAAGTTATTTTTGTAACATTTCTTTTATATGTTTATGGTGTTCAATAGAGCATATAATAAATTACACTATCAAGACATAAGATATGGTTCTTTTAAAATATAATTTTTTGTATCTACTGTATTATTTATTTTGGATTGGCCGGAAGTGAACTCACTTCAGCGTTACGATGGCCTTTTGGTAGAGGACAAGGAACAAATTAACAATATAAAATAAATAAATATATATATCAATCAAATTTTTACGTAGGAACCCCGTTAACGTTCCTACGTTTACTCGGTAGTCAATTTAGGACTGTAATCCTCTTTGTTAAGGTCATTAACGTTCGTTACTGTCGCAGGTTAACCTCGCTTTAACAGGGATTATTAGATAATGGACGTAAATGTAGTACGACGCGTGGACGTTGAGGATGGAATAAGGTCTAATGAAATGGTTGAATGATAAGTAAAAAACATAGGCTTAATAAGACAAGATGTAGATAAAACTATACTATGTATACCTTAAAAAATGATTTAACAATGGCACATCTCAAAGTGCTTTTTAACTTCGGAAGAAGTTTTAATAAAAGAAAAGTTTACAAACGAACGGTTTACCTGATGTTAAGTAATAACGGCCCCATGGACATCTACCACACCAAAGTAGTTGCAATGGCGTTGTAAACATTTAAAACAGGACGCGCCGATCACCTCACACATTCCATAATAGTCTTAAGTCATACTGGTCTTGCCGTGGTAGACTGGATGAATCTATCTTTTCGTACCTACTCTCCACAGTGGACGTTATGTCAATAAAAGCGTCACTCGGACAGTGTAAAATTGTGTACCAACTGCTTCCAGCGGTGCTGGTGGTTGCGGTCTCCTGCCGCTCTGACAAGCCCGACCTGAAACAGTTGAAGGCGGAGGCGGCGCGCAAGAAAGCCTGCACCCACGACTGCGGCAGCGTCAAGTACGAGCCTATCTGCGCCGGCAAGCAGGGCGAGAAGCCGAAGTCTTTCGGCAGCGAGTGCGTCATGAACAACTACAACTGCGAGCATAAAGACAGTAAGCGACCTTCGTACACGCTTTGCAGAACACTGTCCCAAATTTAGTACATAATTTTTTCGAGACTGGAGTATGTAATACTGTCCGTGCAAATCCAACATCGGATTCTGCCAGGATTCTTTATAGGATTGTTGACTTAGGAATGAGACGCAGAGGCGGTTTAAATTGATTTATGTAAAGCCTATTTTGTTGTTGTTTTTTTTTTTTTGTAATCTTGTTAACACAGGCAGTGTGGCATAATTTGTAAAGATCCCACGAGCAACCCTTTTTAAAAACCAAAGGAAAAAAAAAACATTGTCCCAGGTCAAAGGAAGAATACATGCTTACGAATAATACGCCCTCGACTATACTCGTTGTTGCAAGCTATACGAAATAAGTTAAATATATTATTCGCTGTTATAGTCAGTTCTTCATGGGTTTAATTTGATACCCCAATTATCTTTCGTGATATATTTCAAAAATGATCATTGTTATTATTCGTATAAAGTTATGCAAACGTTAACATACACCGTCATATATATAAACAATATATACATTCTACCGATTAAAGCACGAAAAAGGTCCTATATATTATAGTACTAATTAATTTAAACTGAAGAATGTAGATAAACATTAAAAATTTGTTGATTTCTTTTAATTGTATAAAACCTAACTTGAAAATTACGTTGTGAAGATTTATACTAGTAAACAGGTTCCACAAGGCAAGCTAGGTCGACAGGTATGCATTACTACGTATTAGTTATAATCTATGACCAGGCAGGACGTCTTTGCTGGCCTTTTTTGTATCTTAAGTTTTGCAAAAACTCATAAATGAATTGTGTTTATACAAAATTGTCCACACATAATAACTAAACAAACAAGCTAAAATGTTTATTTAACGACAATAGTTACGGATGAGCTAATATCTGCTATGTTTCTCAAATAAAATATTTCGAAAAAGATAAAACTGAACAATGCCTTGTAGCTACTTCATCGTATCAATATAACAGTGACGTTTTGAAAATCATCATTCTCCATTGTTATGTCCGCGGTGACTTTTTGCCTTTTACAATTTTGTAACACAATACGCATTTGTTGTGCATGAGAGCATGACCGATGACGTAAGTGCAAAATCGGGAGCCTGGCTTATTGTTAATTTATGGCTCCGACCGGATTCTGACTCATGACGGTTAGGTTAAATTGCACTTTATTATAGCATGTTTTTTCATTGAAAGTTTTCAATAAGGACGTTGTTAGAGGACAAGGTAGTGTGTATCGGATATTTTTTTAATTGAATAACATTTAATTGTATCCGATATTTATTTACTTTTATCAAACAGCTAATTTTCAGGTAGTATTTTTAAAATAGCGAGCCGTGATAGAAAGAAATATTTCGAAAAAGATAAAACTGAACAATGCCTTTGTAGCTACTTCATCGTATCAATATAACAGTGACGTTTTGAAAATCATCATTCTCCATTGTTATGTCCGCGGTGACTTTTTGCCTTTTACAATTTTGTAACACAATACGCATTTGTTGTGCATGAGAGCATGACCGATGACGTAAGTGCAAAATCGGGAGCCTGGCTTATTGTTAATTTATGGCTCCGACCGGATTCTGACTCATGACGGTTAGGTTAAATTGCACTTTATTATAGCATGTTTTCATTGAAAGTTTTCAATAAGGACGTTGTTAGAGGACAAGGTAGTGTGTATCGGATATTTTTTTAATTGAATAACATTTAATTGTATCCGATATTTATTTACTTTTATCAAACAGCTAATTTTCAGGTAGTATTTTTAAAATAGCGAGCCGTGATAGCTCAGTGTCCGGGCGCTCGCCTTTAATTATATTTTTTTTTATGTGAAAAGTTGCCAAATGAGCAGACGGTTCACCTGATGTTAAGTGAATACCGCCGCCCATAGACATCTGCTATACCCGAGGGTTTGCAGATGCGTTGACAACCTTTTTGGAAATTGGGCTCCGGCTACCTCGCTCACCAGACGAAACGCGAAAGTATTTGTCATACTTCCACTTTACGCTGGTCTTCTGTGAGGTCGTGGTACTTACCCGGACGAGCCTTCCCATTCGTGCAACAGCCGAGGCTGCTGCGTGGCTCTACCACCGTCAAATATATAAATATATTCACTCGAGCAACCTGAGTTCGATCCCCGGTACCTGCACCAATGAAGGTGTTAATTTTAAGTGCTCAGCGGTGAAGGAAAACATCGTGAGGAAACTTCATATTTTCAAAATATTTCGAAAATATGTGAAATCCGCCAAACCGCAGTGGGGTCGCGTGGTGGACTATGCTCTGATACCCTCTGTACAGAGGAGGTCTTTGCCCAGCAGTGGGAACTTCTTAGGCTGTTACTATTTTTAAACTTTAGGCTGCCTTTACTATTTTTAAAATATGCCTTATAGTGAATATTACACGTGTTAGTCAAATTGTAGAAATAATAAACTTTTCAATGTTGTAATTTATTTTTATAGGTTATGGAATATGTTGCCTAATTTACAGTAAGCGTATATAATAACGTTCTCATTAAAATTAATGTTTTTATTTTTACAGCTCTCCAAAAGATCAGCAAAGGTGAATGTCCTGGATCAGATGGAATCCGTCTTTATTAAGCAAAAAAAAAAACACTGACGAAATTACATTTAGCAATATCTTTCCTCTCTAAATTAAAGTATAATTGAAATTATTGGTAAAATAACTCATTTCCGTATTTATGTACGTTAAGGAATTTTACTATCATCATATATCACATATATCACTTTTAATATGTATTTTTTTTTGCTAGAAATCTAAATTAATGCCCGCTACGTTGCGTTTTGTTGAATAAAATTTTCATTAATATCAGAACTTTTTCTTTTGGTTGTTATTCATTTCATTTATTATTTCAAGTAAAATGGCTGTATTAAATCAATTAGAATGCGAATGAAACGTCGAATTTTACATAAATATTTAATACATAAGTTCGTAAGTTACCAGCAGTTTGGAAAGCAATTTCTGTTGAGAAGAAACCGGCAAGAAACTCAACAGTTGCTCTTTTTTAAAAGGTCAGTTTACAATATAATGTTACAGGTATAATAGTCTTGTTTTAGCCTACGTGAGTATCAACAGTATTAACTCCACACATTGGCGTCGTCGAGATGTTTCACAATGGCATAATATGCTTTATAGTAGGGGAGCCCAAGCGGGGATTTCGGGATTTACTCGAGCGCAGGAGGATACCTTGTACCCGGTTAAGTACCTCCACCAAATATGAGCCCCATATATCAGGCCGCTCGTCGAGGATAAAGGATCGGATTAGTAAAAAAATTGACCATCGGAAATTCTCGAGCGTGTCAGATTAAGGTAAAGTGAGTAAATTACATGCTAAAAAGTACATATTCCACTAATCTGACAATTTGAGAGTGACGTAAAGAAAGGGGAGGGCTACAAAGACGTAAAAAAACGTCATCTCGACATCCTCGAACGTGGCTCAATTTTTTTTTATTTTGAAGGAAATAATTCAAGGATAAGGAAAACTATATAATCAGATGATTTCCACAAGCCGAAGCAACAAATTCGTCGATAAAGTACACGCATTAAGCGTGCAGCTGCGTGATGCCTATATTCCCCTCTCCACGCTTCTATTCCTCTCTCATTCTTTATCTATCTATTACTCTCTTACTCCATCCCCACTGTTTTGTGTTGCCATGATGATTAATTAATCAATTAATTATAAAAAAAAAAAACATTTGTTTGAATACACGTATTCTACTTAAAAACACACACTTTTTCATTTGCATGCTATTTCCTGACCTTTTCAATGAATTAAGTTCAATTATGAAATGAAATCTGACATTTTTTTTTGTTATGAGACACCTATACGTCTAAAACATAAAGATGAACCATATATATCTTAAACTGATGCGCTCGAGTATTTCAAAATGGCGTTATTTCTTTGCACATTATAATAATGGCCGTGAGTTTGCGTCATAATGAAATTGTCAGATTATTAAATGAGAGTTTTTTTTTGGGTTCACTTAACACCTCAAAGCTGACGCTCTCGAACAAATTTTTTATTTTTCATTTTCAACCCTTACGTACGACCACCCACCCGCATCATGCAAACGATCAGATTAACTTAAAATTATTAATTTAAAAAGTAGGACATCGATGCTATCAATATCAGACGCGCTCGAGTATATTCATGCAACAATATTTTTTTACATATTTGAACAGCTGTATGAAAAGGTATACATTACATAACATTTTTTTCTTCTTATCAACTTAGCTTTGCAACCCAATAAGTCTCTATGACGCTCGAGTAAATCCCCATTTAGCATCGTGGGCCCGCCTACTAATAGCCATAGGTTTACTTTTAATTCTTCGTTTAAATTCGTCAAGTGGCAGATTTAAAGGCAAAAAAATAAAATGAAAGAAAACCAGTATTCTTCTCACAGCCCGGTTCAAGAAAAGAAAATTCGCCGCTTGTCTTTTGAATCTCATGAGATGATTGGATATAATGTGGAAACTGCAACGTGGTTCCATGAGAATTGTGCAAATATATCAGAGCTGTCAAACCGATATATTTGCGACTATTTCCTTATACAAATGTTCATACATGATGGCTGGTATTGAAGACCTATTTTTGAGCTTGTTTTTTCTTTGTTTTGAAATTTTATTAATAAAATTGATAACTTATAAACGTATGTAATGTAAAGAAGTTTCTTTACGCATGTCAGCAGCAACAGAACTTATGGTTTCTTTATTTTATTCTCAATAATCTTTCGGGTGATGGTAATCCAGGACTCGCTCTAATTGTGTTTATATTCACGTTGTATTCATATATACGTGGACACCGCGGATTAAAGAAACTCATACGGAAATGTTTTCAGGATAATGTAGTTTTTCCCACTCCTATTAAAGTTATTATTTCAAAATAAATTTAAATAAATTATTCTATAATGTAAATATTCAAGATCATGGTTCTCCTCATAAAATATCCTCCTCCAAAATTATGACTCCGACGTGATGCAAAGCCGAAGTCGTCCTCGCGTCGCTATGTCATTGGTGAAGATTTAAATATAATGAACGAAAATTTTGAACATCGAAATACATTGAAGATGGAAGTTTCACGTCGTCTGTTATGAAACTGCTCTTCTCAGAACTATTCGTCATAACGCTGACTGATATCTTGTTTCTGACAGTCCTTATCAGGGCTACACCAATAGTTCAAAAGTTCTTTCCAGAACTGTTCTATTCACTGTTTGGCGGTACGAGATGTGTTTATCTTTATAAATTTTAAATCATTCTTTATAATTGCAAACACCTTAAAAATAGGCTACAAAAGGCGGGTATATACATTCCTTATGTTCATCTCAGAAAATGACAGCCTGAAAGTTTTGTTAAAACCGTGCGTGCAAAAAATACCTTGAATGAAAACTAGCAATTTTGTATATCAAAATACCGTTGTTTAAATCCGTGTGGAACTGTTTTATAAAATTTTTTCAGAAAACTGATACTGGGAGTCCATAAAGGCTCAGCGCCAACTTATAGGGCAGAAAGCACGCAATCTTAGACGCATCCGTGGAATCGACTCTATCAGGCACGATATGAGGCTTCTATTATATCTTTTAGCCCGGATGAAAATTTAAACCCGTTGGATAACGCCATTTTGACACATTGGGAGGGGAAATTCAGCATTAAACCTGAATCTGGGATAGAAAATCAGAATTTGAAGCAGAATCTCTAACAGCATCTTTAATTAAAGCATTGTGCGTGCGAGATGTGTGAAATGACTAGCCTTGAAAATTGAAATCGACTGAACTTACAATGTTATAATATTTATGGAAGGACTGAAACTGGCTGAATGTTATAAAAATATTAATGATTATATCTATATTGTACAAACAACCAAAATCATAAAATTTATTACATGAAATGTTTGTGACAGAACTAATGGTCAACGTGTCAGAGTGCAACTTATATAGCATTTTCCTGATGTGCTTGATGATCTAATCGTCATAAACTTTATAATGTAAATGGATATTGTTTACGGTATTGGCAATAACAAGTCTATTGCAAATAGGGCAACATGCGTGATAAGCAACGAGGCAATCAAATCAGACAGCGCGGCGCCTTACACAACGATCGTCTGAAGGTTAAAAATCGACGAACAAGAACACAAATTTATTGATTTATTCAGATTTTAAAAACATATATGTGTTGTCTCCTAAGACCTTGACAAAAATATTGGTTAAGTATATATATATATAATACAGTAAAAATCAGTTTTCTGTAACGATGCTCCATAGGTTTTAGACCTTAAATTTATGAATGAGGAGTGGATCCATTTCTTGAATGTAATTCAATTGATAGATTAAAACAAAAGCTATGATCAAGGGGAGCAATTTGGGTAAATAATGATATGACTAAAAATAAAAATCTTAACTTTGGGCGTTTTATCTAATCCTGAGTTAAAGTGACAACAAAGAAATTGAAGGAGTTTGTTAAGTTTGCGGTCTTTTATAGGTTACTAAGAAGGCACAAGAAATACATTTATTTTAATTCGTCGCTCTTCGGTCATCCAAAAAAAAAAAAAAAGATGCCATCCTGTCCTTGAAGTCATTCCCCGTTTTCGAAATAGAGAAATAATTGTAGTAAGTTGAAAATAACGTGCCTTCAATGTAAGAATGAGAAGATTTTTACGAAGCTACTGTTTTCGAACCTCATATTACTTCACTATTTACCATCAGTTGACTATCAATTTTTTTAATCAGTGTTAATCGCAGATTCGTTATTTTTGTATGGTGTTATCAGCTATACGTATAAAAGAACATATTTAAACAGGCAAATAGCTTTCATTTTCTCTTCTTTTTCTTAATTAATTTTGTTCTTTTTTAATAGTTACTGATGGGTAGTGTTATCAATAAAAAATATGTATGTACTCACGTAATAAGTCATACTTCTTTAGTGTAACAAAAGAAAAATTAGAAAAAAAATTGTTATTTAGTTAAATTTTTTCTTAATTCGTGTATGTATCATATTTTTGTAATGTAATGTTTTATTTTAATAATTTATGTTTATTTACAAATATTTTATTTATTTACAAGAAAAGTATGTTTAAGAATATTTATCAGTTTAGTCTGAGACTAAGCAAAGACTCACACTATGTACCGAGTACCAACTCATAACTATGCCAACTTGATGCATATCAAGTCGTATGAAGAACATTACTTATCTGAATCCTGCAGAGATATGTTCCTCTGAGACAACGTAAATACTTTCCTAAACAAAGTCCTTATACCATATACCATAGCGTATTGTGTTATAAAATATAACTTAGTTGAACTAAAATTATTTAAGTTAAATTAACAATAAATGAAACAGCAACGGTCTGTCAAAATTTATTGAGCAAAAAAACTAAATATACATTATTTCTAAAATGGCGAATAAGGATATAATCAAAGTGTACTTTGTACAATAAATAATATTACTTATTTTTCTACTTAATACTACTGGTAGTACAATGTTGCTTAAAGAAATTTTGTAATATTAGTATTGTAGATACAGCCGATCTATGAAAATAAAAAAAAATGGTTTTCCTCAATTTAATTTAATTCACTTTATGACAGAATAAATCAGTTTTATATGTATATAAATGAAAAAGGATAAATTTTGTCAATATTCACATGGTGATTAAAAACGAATTAAGTTTTATACGCTTCTTTAGATACATTTTCCTAACAAAATATAGAATTTTATTTTACATTAGTTGTGCAGATAGCAAAAACTGGTTGTGTAAAAAAGAAAAACAAAAATTTTCATACACACATGTTGACCAATCTAGACTCTGTACACTAAAATTAATTCCCCATTATTTTGTTAAATACAAAATTCATAATTTATAAAACGTGTACGAAAAACTTTTTTCTTTTATTTTTCTTTTATGAATAGCCTACTATATACAAAATTTTGTCCAGATAAATTTAGTAATATTCTGCAAATTGTGATGAGCCTTATGTGCAATATATATAATCTTTTAAACGTTAGCACATAAGTTTTGAAAAATAAAAGAATATAAATGTCACATGAAATAAAACCCGTTATAACTACATAAGGATGTACATATCTGCTGTTCAAAACATTAAAAATTTACTTATTCCCTTGTATACGCTGTGATGCGAGTTGCATGTGCAACATTTTCGAAGTTTTGTCGAAAATCAACCTACCAAAATCTAAGACATTTAATATTTAAGAGAATGAAGAAATATCGTACAGTTATTTGCATATTGTAAATTTGTTCACTCCATTTTAACATTCGCCGAGGCTTGTGATGGCGTAATCTGCAAAAAAACGAAAATAATTAACCGAGTTAGTCAAACAGTCCCACTGACATTCTTCAATAAGAATTTAACTAATAATGAATTTTTCTATAGGCGAGGTTCAATAAGGTCTTACTAAAATTTCACTTGGAAATTAGAGACGTTTTTAGTGCTATCTTTAAATACTAGCACTAAAAAAGTACAAAATGTGAAAACAATAAACAAAACTATTAAATCATTTTGTAGATTTAATCGCGTTTGGTTTTGGAGTATTATTATACATTTGAAATTACATATTAATATTACAATTTTTGATTCCTGAAAACTGCATGGGACAGACGCTTTAATATCCGTTAAATTATTTAATCCATTTTTTAATTTAACAATTATGTATACACATAAATACAAGGAAGGAAGGACGCATTTAAAGCCATAAAGGGAGTCACTCTTATAAAATAATCCCCTGAACACACAACACATTTGGAATGGGTAGTCATACCAATATTCCAAACAGTAATTGGAAAATTATCCATGTTTGCTTTGAAAAGTGAAATTAATAATAAAAATAATGAATTATTTTTATAAGGTCACTATATACTCTTCTAGAAAGTAAGGTACTTGTGACTATAAATAGAGAAGTCCACAGATCCCACTGTTAATTATATATACGCGTATCATCTTAAATATTTCAAGATAATAGGTAATTTGTGTCTATTTTATCGCGAAGGGAGTTATTTGTGGAGTATAAATAAGAAGGAAATCGATTATAGAACGTTATCGAAGTAACTTACAATTGAGTGTTATTTATAGACTTATCATTGAAATATTATTATACATTTGAATTATTAATAATTCTATCATTTCAGAAATGGTAAATTGCTCCGTTGCTCTAAGGGACTTGTATTTCATTTTAAACACAAACCATAAACAAATCAAATTTATCGATCGACATTCGTAATAATGAAGACAAATTGTTTCCTTATATCTTTCTAATTTGGTTTTTGTATCGTGCTTTTAGATTATTACAGAAATATGTTCACGTATACCTTAAATCTGGTGGAATTACGGTTGTGGGGAAATCCATATAAGAAGCTTATAGTTTAATTTTATACCCTACTGAGTCAGATTCCGAATGCCTTGACTCATTTCACTGATCTCACTGCATGTATATAGGTAATTCCCGGAGAAGATATCGCGGTTCTTGTTGTACTCGTACATTTAGTAATAATTCAAACAGATGTTACTCATAAAATAGTAACTATCCTTGTTCGATTTCCAGTAAACCAATTAAATTATTAGCTTCTATTTTAATAGTATTCCGCAGCGGTGGAAATTTGCAAACCACCGATTGACGAGTGGGTAGTGAACCTGCCTCTTGGACCATAGGGTGTGGGTTTGATCCGCTCTACTGGAAAATTTTGTGTGATATATTGTTTTTCTAGTGTCTGGAAAGTATGTTTAAGTGTGTTTATCAATTTAGATAACCGATAAACATACTTTTACTCAAAGTATCAGCGTTGCATAGTTTGGGACTAGATTATGTTGTGTTAAAATGTGTGCTAAATATTTATTTATTTATTAGCCCTCTGTTTCCGATTTTATTTAACTTTCCCATAATTTTATTTTTAAGTTTTTTGTATTATTTTCCTTACATATGTTTTTGATCAACGTATTGGTCTTTTTCTAGACTAGAGAACACATCTCTGAAAAATGTTGCAATTTTTACTATAACAAGCAGTTGAAATATGTACTTTTTATTAGAATGTCATCTTCGACGTAAAATAGTCAAAAGGCTAAAATTTTACATATTGGCGGTTAAATGATATGACCATGTTTTTTTTATTATTTAAAATGGGTGTTGTGTACGTCAATCAAAATTTGTTTCTTTCTTTTTTCATCTATACGAAGCTCGCACATTCCCTCCTTCACTCAGCATTATTATTTTACTGTAAAATTACATCATTCCCTTCATGTGTTTCTCTTCGGCTTCTGTATACGTGTGTGCGTTAACATTTCACGATAGTTTTTTTTATGCGAGAAAGTGGCAAACGAGCTGCCGGTTCACCTGATGGTAAGTGATAACCGCCGCCCACGGACATTTGTAATACCGATTGCAGGTGTGTTGCCACCTTTTAACAATGTGGGCCCCGGCTACCTCACTCAATAGCCGAAACGCAGGAGTGTAACACTTCTATTTTACGCCGGTCTTCTGTGAGGTCGTGGTACTAACCCGGACGGACCTGCCCATTCGTGCAACAGCGAGCACTGTTGCGTGGGCCTATCACAGTTTGCGCCGTTTTAAACTGCAGTTGGTGTGACGTTGGTGTGTAACGTCTCTATACGAAGTCTCATCATGTAGAGGGCTGTGGCGTCACTTACACGTGCTTTCGCGACACGAAACCGCCTCCAGCTCGCACAGCGTGGCGAAGGTCCTTGCCGTGCCGGTCGCGTCGAAGGCGCAGACAGGCCCGGCGGGAGGCGAGGCGCACCTTCCCGCGCACAGGGGCGGAGGCACGCCCTCCCTCACCCGCGCCCGCATCAGCTCCACCGGGATCCGCATTTCCGCGCCCTCGTCTTCGACATCCTTTATGTCGGCTATGTGCACCGGCCTAAGGAACGGTATGCTGGCAGATCGCGCCCCCCGCCACGCTGAAAGAGTACAACTCTGAGTTTGAATTTTCGCGTGGAACTGGCACGTTGGAAATTTTTTGAATCAAGTCGAAATGTAAAGTATTTCCAATAAAACATTTATTGGAAATCTTTTACATTTCGACTTGTGTGAATGATGGGTAATGTTTTAAATCTAAGGTTCAATTCGGGATTAGGTAAGTGTTCTGTTTTCGATGTATCGTATGTGTACAGCGGACGTTACAACCGCGACAATAAATGATCACACGTCTAACGCTACTTGCCAATAATCTTAAAAAAATATAAAACGTTAAAAAATCCATAATTAAAAAAATATATTTTTCAAACAAAATAATGAAATAAAAAAGAAATATAATTTGTTACTTCCTATACAAGTAGAACTGACTGATTCATACATTCAGAGATTTTTTCATTCGTTGCCGAATCGTCGCATTACAAATCTCTCCTTCTAACAGTATGATTTATCTCTTTTAAATTCATTCAACCCATTCATATGCTTTGGGACCTTTACAAGTGAACTTTACGTTACAGTTTTATACGTATTGGTGTTTTAAAAATGTTTGTTTTGTAAAATTTCATGACTCGGTAAATATTGATGTTTAAAGAATCTAAATGCTTAATACAATTTTAAAAAGTTATCCTCTATATGTGTCTTCATTTATTGTCGCGGTTGTAACGACACGCTGTATATACTTATTTTGAAGAGGATCAGATCTTATTTGTTCAATGCCTAGACAAAGTTATGTACGTAATGTTATTTTAGTTCATTATCCTTCAAACTTCATTTTAGTCTAAAGAGTGTCCCAATCAAGGTTATGCGGGGCAACGATTTTTATTGCAAAGAATTAAACCGAAGTATAGGAACTGGTTATACTGGGTTTTTTGCCGTCATATTTTTCTTCCTCATTAAAACATTTTTTAATCACATTAAAAAATTTAAACGTCTAAACGAATATTTGAATTTAACATTTTTATTATTATTAAATTATCATTATAATAATTATATTATTAAACTATATAATCGGAATCTCGGAAACGGCTCCAGCGATTTTCATGAAATTTAGTTGATTCGGGGGCGAAAAACCGATCTAGCTAGGTTTCATTTTTAGAAAATGTCCTTTTATCCCTGTTTTCATGGAATGAAAAATATCATTCGAATATGACGGTAAATTTCGCCACAAAAAAAATATTATAATAGCTCGGTCGGTAATCGGGTCGCCCCAAAACAGCCGCGGTTCGTATCACAATCATTTACATACTTCTTTTTTACTTTTTATTCGATTCCAGATAATTGCTTTCTTTATTTTTTATTTTTTGTCGATTTGTTATTTTGTTATTTTTAAAGTTCTTTCTTTTGTGAACAACACCAGTTCATATTTTCTTATTATTACGTCGGTAAGATCGAAAAATATTATGCATTTTTCATTACTCAGTAATTGGTATCTAAATGTAATTTACAAAATACACGATTTACAAAAAAACACAAACCGAGTATAGCTCGGTTCTCCAGGTACTAGTGTATATTTGATTTAATCTTTGTATTTTAATAATCACACGTTTCACAAACATGAAATGAATGGATGTCGATAGTCAAAGCTCGTACCAGTACCAATAAGAATTTGCATTGTAAAACAATTCACACTACTTTCTCACTACAAGTATGGTATTTATTTATTTAAATTTCAATGTAAATACGGTACCCAGTATTGGTTAACTGTGGAATAAAGGTTTCAATAATCGATATATAAGCTTACTAAACATTCCAATAAGGACAGAAATTACAATTATTTGAGCACTGAACTTTTGGAAGCTTAATAAACACGCTGAATACAAACAGTTAGTCGCGACAAAATAGCTTAGTGAACGTCTAACGCCCTTCAGAAATATACATATACAGATAGTTAAGACATAAACACAGTTCGATAATGCTAGTTTTATTCCATTATTGTTTTGACGACGCACAATATAATATACAGTGCGACATTCGATTTGACCCCACTTAATCTAATCAATAATATTTATTCCCCTTAACTTTTCCTGTGATCTCATCCATGTGGCGCGTATCAAAACACCGGGGGTATCGGCGTTGTAAACAATGATAGGCACGCGTCTCTAGTGATTTAAAACGCATATGCAAAATAATTATGTATGTGTTTGTTGCATAACAAGTGTTGTCATCGATTAAAATATCGATGATACTTCACGTTCGTCTCATTAATAAATGTTGAAAGAAGTAATTAAATAAAGTTAATAGCAAGTAACTTAGTAATTTTTTTGTTTACTGCATACTTAAGTGTATCTGTCCTCGCGTTAGGTGTTAGTCAGTTCGTTTTTGGGTTGATATATTTTTTATTATTAAATAATAAATAGAAACATATCCTGCATAAGCAAATTATTCATGAGCCGCGAGTGCCTACAAAAATCATGATCTTAAAGTACCACTGAGACTATTAAGAATAATATATATATTGAACAGTTAGATGAACGTAGTATTTATTTATTATATTTATTTATTTACTTACTTCAACAACAAGATACACATCAAAACAAGCTTAAAACATAAATAAGTACATAGTATGTTAAACTAAATGATATCTCAATAACAGGTGAAACGACATTCAAAAGTTATTATATTTACAATTGCTAAAAAAATAATAATAATTGAAGTATGTTAAATGCTAACAAAGAATTAATACAGTAGTTGACTTTACACTAAAATAAAAATATAACCAAAACAGGAAATAATAGTATTTTAACAAATTGCCAAAAAATAAAAACTGTAGAGACAGAAGAAATTTACTCTAATTAAATACAAAAACCTGTAAGTGGACAGATTTCTCTTAAACTTGTCTATACTATCGTTAAAAATGTCTATGGTCATTTAAGTACCAGACAATTTATTGTAAGTTTTTGACAAACGGTTGAGTTATAGTTGTTGTTGCCAAGTTTCGTTTTAGACCGATGAGTTACAAACATTTTTCTGACTTTATTGTGTTTCAATCTAGAGGGAGCTGCTAAATTAATACGTGTCAAAGTTCAGGATAATCCAATGCACCGTTGATAAAAGACAAGTATAAATCTTCGGAACTTGATTTGAAATCCCGGTAACAGTACCATTGAAACTGTTAATTGCAACTTCAAGTACTGACGTATTACGTACACAGCGAATATGAAAAAATCGTGAGGAAATCTGCATATCCCGAAATAGTAATAATAAAAAAAATCGAAGATATGTCAAGTCCAATAATAAACGGGGCGGTCTCGTGTCGGTGAGCTATGCCCTAATACCCCCTATATAGAGGAGGGATATGTATGGGTTGTTTCAGTATATTAATTCAGTGTAGGTTCTCGATCCGGCACTGTAGAACAGCCAACAGATGTGTGGATAAATAAAAAACTATTACTTACGAAAAAACAGTAACAATGTTCAATTTCTTATATTTATATACAAAGAGTTCTACTAATGAAACTAGAGAAGGGTCCTGGAAGAAATTGCATACATATACAGCGTATCGTTACCATCGCGACAATAAATGAACACTAACCATGTCTAACGCTACTTGCCAATAATCATAAAAAAGTATTAACGTTAAACAAAATCCATAATTAAAAAGAAATATTTTTCAAACAAACTAATTAAGTAAAAAACAAACAAAATTTGTAACTTCCTAAACAACTCGCGCCACAGCGTCGTATTACAAGCCTCTCCTTCTAACAGTATGTTTTGTCTCTTTTAAATTCATTCAACCCATTCATATGCTTTGTGACCTTTACAAATGAACTTTACGTTACGCTTTTATAGGTAAGGGTGTTCTAAAATTCTTTGTTTTGGAAAATTTAATAACTCTGTAAATATTGATGTTTAAAGAATTTAAATGTTTAATACAACTTTAAAAAGTTATCCCCTATATGTGTGTTCATTTATTGTCGCGATGGTAACGACACGCTGTATATCAGGTCCGAGCCTGTTTGAGGTAACCTATTGTTTTTTTTTTTATGCCAAAAACTGTCAAACGAGCAGACGGTTCACCTGATGTTAAGTGAATACCGCCGCCCATGGACATCTGCCGCACCGGAGGGTTACAGATGCGTTGATAACCTTTTGAAAATTGGGCTCTGGCTACCTCACTCACCAGACGAAACGCGAAAGTATTTGTTATACTTCCACTTTACGCTGGTCTTCTGTGAGGTCGTGGTACTTACCCGGACGGGCCTGCCCATTCGTGCAACAGCCGAGGCTGCTGCGTGGCCCTACCACCGTTAATTTATTGTGGTAGGGCCACTCAGCTGCTTCGGCGATTGCACGAATGGGCAGATGTGAGGTGAAGTTACTTCTTCGTTTCGTCCGGTGGGTGGGGTAACTGAGGCCCACTTTTTTCATTCTTGTCTTCACTGAACATTAGATGAACCTGATGAATATATGAACCTAAATAGCGAGCGCCTGTTCGCTTGACAGCTTTTCTATTAAAAAAAAACATTTACGTAAATGTCATGCATGCATAATCGCTACAAACAAAATCCACGCTTCCAAAACACTGAATCTATCAACGGCGCTTTTAATCTACAAAGTGTATTATTTACTGATAATGTTGGTTGAAATAACCTTTAAAATGTAATAGCTATCAAGTTAAGTGTTATGGATAGATATGAAAGCAAAATAAAAGCAAAATTACTATCGATAAGAAGACAAAACATTTTTTGAACCTCACTATACTGCTCAAACAATGATTAGTTTATGCGACAATCAATTTATGTCTAGCTTTAACAGTATTCAATAATAAACAAAAATAACTTTTATTTAACAGACAAATCTTCTTGTCAATAATAAAACCATTGAATTAGACTATTGTAGACTAAATAAAACCGTTTAAAAACTTTTAAGTTAAACGGTTTTATTTTATGTTTTTTTGTGCACTGAAAACTACAATATTGTATTGTCATCTAAATTAAATGTGTGTACCAAATTTCGATCAATCTGAGAACGGGAAGGTGCTTAAATTTCAATTTCTAATTTTGACCCAAATAAATAAACAAATTCCGTACGTGTCGAGCTAAATAAAACCGTTTAAAAACGCGTGGTGTCAATACCATTCAATGAAAACTTATTTTTATAACGAAAAACAAAACCGACTTCGAATCTCGCTCAGTATTTATTTCATAAATAGTTTTCAGGAGCTATCTGAGTATCTCCGGAGGCCAAGAACCAATACCAATGAAATTAATATGGGACTACATACGAAGCACCAGCTTTTAAAAATAAAGAATCATTAAAATCGGTCCACCCAGACGAAAGTTACGAGGTAACAAACATAAAGAAAACCACATGGGTACCTCCTCCTTTTGAAGTCTGTTCATAATACATCAAGTGACCCGAGTGAAAATCAGGCTGCCAACCATAACTGCATAAGCGTTAAAACTGCGCAGTTAAATTAAGCATTAAGGATCCAATAATTTTTTATCAATTACGTTCCAGTGACCTCGTTTTCAGAAGAGGAGTCGATCTAGATAACGAGCCGAACTTCCTCAACTGAATCATCAGGATATAGCCGTATCGCGAGTTTCCCACGTCCACGTTACACACTATACGGACATTTATTTGGACTACGCGAAATTATGTGTTCAGATTTAAATGACGCAAAATATCATATGTTAGTCGATTTAACTGGCACACACATATATAAATAATAGCTTTTCGCCCGCGGCTTCGCTCGCCCTTAAATAAATATCTTTCTTTAAAAAAATCCAATTAAAAAAATATCCTATGTCCTTTCTCAGGCTCTAGACTATCTGTGTACCAAATTTCATTTAAATCGATTCAGTAGTTTTAAAGAGAAATGATTGGAAAACGTAAATCCATTCAAATGTATGTCAGGAATCGTCTTAGTTAATAAGTAGATGGTTATTGTTAACATTATATAAGTAAAAATTAAACTAGTTTAGGAGTTAGATAAGTTGGAAATGCATTTTTTATTACAGGACGTCTACAAGCTAAAAGGTATTATGTGAAAATTTTGCAAAATGGAGATACATTGCAGTATAAACAAAGGTTTTCTTAATAATAGAACCTACATCCCTAATAGGTATTACATTGCTTAAATTAAGTGTTACCTCGATAATTGTATAACTTAATTATACATCTTTTTAAGATAATGACGTTTCATATCTCATATTTATAGTAGAAACAAAAAAAAGGATAGAATCTGAAGCAGATATCTAATGCAAAGAATTAAAGTTATATCAGTCATTACATGGAAATAGCTTTAATAATAATAAAAACTTTAATAATTTTGGTTAATAATTGATAAAACTAGGTATTCAAAAAGAGTTAAAGTTAGAGTAGAGTTAGAGTTTATGCGTTGGGGCAAAATGGTAGTTGTATTTTAGCTTCTAATAATTATTTATTTCAGAAATCTTCGAGAAAAAATCGAGAAAAATATGCAGAGCCGTGATAGCTCATAGTCCGGGCGCTCGTTTTTAATTCAATATACTCGAACAACCTGAGTTAAATCTCATTTTAACTGCTGACTTATCATCTGCTCAGCGGTGAGGGTAAACATCGTGGAAAACCTGTAAATTTTCGAAATAATAACATGTAGACATAGGTGTTGTGTTCTGCGACTCTAGCGAGTATCTTTGCAAGTTGTGTCAGTGCCACTGAATGTCTGAAGTTTACTCAAAGAAATGTTCTTTTTATAACTATAAGACAAGACAAAGGTCTTGACCATTGAATGATGATACCCATTCGTATTGGTGTAAGGAAAACATTCATAGAAAAACACTTCGCCTGAGTGGGGTAGTGGTTTGTTTGTGGTTCTCCTAGAGACTTCACGGCTTCCAGTTACCTCAATATTTAAATTGATCAAAAGTACTCTTACAATTAAGTAAAAGACAAACGAAGTGCTTTATAAGTCTCAAACCACTACGCGCGGCTTAGCTTACGGAAGTATTTTTAAATAGTTCATTTTAATAGAAAGTATTGCATGTGAATATCTAAACTGTGTCGCTTTCATTTAAAAATAGTGATCCGAAACAATTTCTAAAGTGTGTGTATTCTTAATCACAACTTGCAAAATTTAGGAATTAAAGTACTTGACTTTAATTCCTAAATTTTGCAAGTTACGACAGTGTTATATAATCTATTACTCTCTACTGGTTTTACGATCGATATATAGTGCACTGACTGTATAACTATGACACTTATATAATATTTACATATAGTATGTATAATTAATATAATATAAATAATAATAAAGCAATTAATCTTAATATGGCAGATGTTTATATTAAATATGTATCCCTCTACTGCTTTCATTATTGCTAAACGTGAAACGATATAATATCAATCTAGATTATAGTTTAAATCGTTTTAAATCTCTCATAAAATTGTGACAATTGATTTCTTGAAGGAGGACTGCAAAGTCAGGCTGATTCTCGTGCCAACGCATATTTTTCCGTTCGTCGGTTGTCCGAAGATTGTGTTCGGAGTTCAACTTGACGCGCCCGCGCTTGGTGCATTGCGATAACCTACGGATCAACACGCCGAACGGTCTAGCAGCTGCGGCGCCTTTGTTCTCTGCGTACGTTAACGCTACGTCACGCCATCAGTGCAATGGGGGTTCGCAGACCTTATGAAAGTTCAGATGTCCCCCGCAACGTGCCGTTCCAGGTGATACAGACGTTTTTCACCTCGATTACTTCAGATTCAGTTTTTATCAAGTTACGCATGTATCCATTACATAGTCTATGGTTGAGTGGAGAATGAAAATAAATGGAAGCATAGCATACTAGCCTGCACAAATGCACTTCATAGGTCACTAAAAAGATTATGAAAGTGAAATTTTGAATAACTGTAGCTATTCTCCCTAGAACTAATCCGCTAGACAGAATTATAAGATGTTATCCCACTGATATAGGCAACTGAACAGCTTTGGACCAAAAGGACCTTCAATTATTTGTGGCAATAAACGCTTTTTTTTTAATTTTCCCTCACTTTAGGATAACATTATCCTGTGTTGTAAGGATGTATTACAAACATAAATTGCACGAGGACAAACACCCAGATGCGAAACAACTAATCTGTGGGTCGCACAAATAGTTGTCCGGTGTGGGAATCGAACCCACGTCCCCCAACGCCGAAGCCAATACATTGGCATCTGCGCCACGGAGTCATCAAATGTTGTTTTAAATGGAGGACATTCTTGAACTCAATCTTAATTGTTCAGATTTTCATTAACTCGATAATTTTGTTCACTGAGGTATCTTTTAAAGGATATATTTAAATTTCTTTATAATCTTTTAAATTCTTACTAATATTATAAACGCGTAAGTTTGTATGTATGGATGGATATTGGTTACTCTTTCACGCAAATACTTCTGAATAGATTCCAATAAACTTTACAATAATATATCTAATACATCAGAATAACACATAGGCTATAATTTATATATTTTATCTGTCTGAATGTTACGCCTTCAGCCTATTCTACGCAGACGTAGTCGCATGCAGCAGCTAGTTATAACCTATTTCTATATATTTTTAGTTCTTTAAATTTTTATTTTTGCTATAGGGGATATGTCATTATAAGATTGCATATGTGAAATAAAAGATATTGTAATTAAATGTATGTGTAATACTCCTATTTTAAATTCAATGATTATGTTTAATGTCAATTAATGTATATGTAGTTATTCGATATTTTATACAGTCATGAAATTACACACCATGTGATACGTGAAACAATACCCTAGAAGAGACATGACACCGATCGATTCGATTTGCTGGCTTGGCGTAAAGTACATATTTGAAACCGCGTAGTTATTTGTTCTCATGTTAAGAAAACATTACAAAAAATACGAGCTGTGTATCTTTCCATTTTAAGGCAGTCGGTGTTAAAACTTCGGAATCGAATAATATTAATGATAACAGTAAATAACTCACCAGCAATTAATAACACGCACAGAAGTATCTTCCCGCTTAGCATTTCCACCCTGTTGCTTCCGATTGTCAACGGCAGCACCGAAGCTCTGTACTATCACAAAGTACCGTCAGCCCTGCACGGAATGTGGCATGCGTTTCGCAGTGTTCTTCGCTCGAACTCGGGTATGTTGATGACAACACAGTTATCGCCCCACTGCACCAGAGGCGGTCGCATAGCGTCCCGATCTCAACGGAAGGGGGGATGCGACAATAGTGTTGTGTTGGTGGCACCGATAACCTCTGCCACCGTCGGAGGACGAACCGATAAGAATATCGCCTTTCCAACGAGAACGCATATTCTTTCGCTACCCAGATAATTCTGTAGAACATCACTATTAATTACAACTAGCCGTGCCCGGGACTTCGTCCGCGTCGAATTTAAAATAAATAAAATTTCAAAAATAAAAGTAGCCTAAGTTAATCCTTATTAGATTAGCTATCCGCTATCACTAGCCCAATTTTCAAAAGGTTGTCAACGCATCTGGAACTCTCGGCTGTAACAGATGTCAATGGGCCCGCCGCCCACTTCACTTAACATCAGGTGAACCGCCTGCTCGCTTGGCAACTTTTCACATAAAAAAAAATCAGTGAAAGTTCCGTCAAAATCGGTCCTCTCGTTTCAGATTAGCTGGAACAAACAGACAGACAGACAGACAAAAATTGTAAAAAAAATTATTTTGGAATGTGTACCGTGTACCAATACATGCATTTAGTAAAAAAGCTGTTATTTTTATATTACAAACAAACACTCCAATTTTATTTATATGTCTGTGTATAGATTGACGATTGATAGCTGCTAATCTTGTAAAATTCAAAGCTGCAATGGACACATAAGTATTAGTTGGACATTTAATATTTTCCATAGCACAAGATGATTCCAAGCATCAAAACAATATTGTTCATCATTCGAAAAAAAAATTTGTTCTGTGATGACATCTCTGTTCGCTTCTCATTAACGACAGATAAAGAAGTGTGGCTGAGAATAAAAAGAGTGACAAATTACAGGTCTATATGAATTACCATCAGAGTATGAAGGTAATTTCATTTTTTCAGCGAGTGCCAATAGTTATTTAGCCGAAAATGGGTAAGTGGAGATGTACTTGTGAATGTCATACGCCCTCGGGGCGAAGCCCTTGATAACGAAGGACGGTATAGTACTTGCAGTTTCCGTTGAAATCTAAAAATTAATAAGTTTAGCGTCAAAGCACTATATGTTTATAGAAGAACTTTCTGAGTGAACGTCTCTACAAATTGTTGTTAAGGCTGTACATTACAAAACACAGTAGTATAACGCTTCCAATTCACACGGGTCTTCTGTGTGATTGTGGTACGTTCCCGGACGGACCTGCCCATTCGTGCAACAACGGAGATTGTTGCGAGGCCCTACAGTTAATTGTTACATACAGTTAATGTACAACAATTAATTGAAACCGATAAAAATTACTTGTCAGTAAATTCGAACTAAATCAGGAATGAACCAAGCGCAAAATATTTTACAGATTTTGCATTCGATAAATTCTACTTGTTTAATCAAGAAGGGCAGAAACGACTGCTTGTGAATCATTGCCGAAAAATGATAAAAAAGGTTAATGAGCGTAGTTATTGCCCGTAAACTTTGAATAGAACAGAAAAAGCTTTTCCTAGAATCTTAGTAAAAGTTCGCGACAGGTGTCCTCGAAACAATGTAATTCTTCTCATCCACACATTTGCTAGGATGAAAAACGCATATTTAATGAATTGCAAATGTGGATATCATGCCGCATTTGCCCTAAAGCAAGGATCTCGAATCTCACAATTTCTTTTCATTTACGGATTTCTGAACTACAAGTTTGGAAGTAGCTGTAAATGCCTTCCAAGAAGCTATTGGAGAGATATGGACTGATATCCTTACAAAATATTCAAACTCGGCTTTACACGATATTCAAAACAATAAAAAAATGTTGATGAAAATACCGAAACCGCTTTTTAGCGATAAGGCAGCCTATTGTGCAGATTTGTATTCTTTGTTGTTCATTATTCAATGTAAGTTACAGTGTACATTAAAGTATATTTCTTTCATTCATTCATCTGGCCTTTGTCATAAAAATCTTAAAAACCTACAGTAGAATCGACTAACTACGTCGAATCAAATAAAACTATAGTATTATGAATTTAATATTGAAACTGGCTGAGCTGCATGACGATAGGCAAATAACATGGAAAATGAAGGAGAATGGGTGATAATAATTATTAATTACAACGTGTATCTTGGAAGACGTAAAAAACAAGTCAGATTTATGAGAGGCTTGCGCCTTATAAGCAAAAAGTACTGGACCGGTTTCCACAGTAGAACGATACATTGCGACAGACGCGAACCTATTCAAAGAAGTATTTACAAGTAAAAAGAATCATCTTGTTTCGAAGTTTAAAATGTATAAACTATTTGCATTCCTTGTTGTGGGTAAGTAATTCGTAATTAATATGGCTCTTAATTATTATCGTATATCCTAGGCTTAACACCGCGGCTGGTGACAAGAGAGCTGGTTCTTTTCTCGCTCAAAGGTTAAGCATAACTATTCAGTGAGGAAATGCAGCTAGCGTTCTTGGCACCATGCCGCTTGGATTAAGTTTATTAGATAATATGTAATTTTAGATAGATTTAATCTTGTAAATATTATATAAATTAATATGTATAATACATGGTTATTTATGCGTCTTGATTAAATTTTATATTTGCATATTGTCAACCTAAACGACAACTGAAAAAACTGAGTTCATTTATCAAAGAGTAATCCCATTATTTATTACATACAATATATTACATGAAGTTATTCTATTGCATTTTTATATCTGATCGTAATTTATGGATAAGCTTAATTTATTTGTATGATGCCGGTGCGGTGCATCATGTGCGGATGATGATGGCATACGCTGTTTGAAAATTTGATCAGAAATGTAGACGTTACTTTGTGTATGTAGTAATTTGAATGAAATATTAGAATTTTTATTCTAAAAGAATCATGAAATGGTTCCTATTGGTATTGCTGATGTGACTTTTTGCTTTGATACTTCAGCCTCGCTAGCTAGTGCGAATGCGGGCCTCAGATTCAGGCGCCAATCTAATGACGGAGCGGATCAGGCACAGCCAGTTTCGCCGGGTTCGACCACAGCGGCTGCGTAAGCATACTTCAGTTGAATAATATTCAAGGAACCATTTTTAGGGTTCCGTACCCAAAGGGTAAAACGGGACGTTATTACTAAGACTCCGATGTCTGTCTGTTTATCTGTTCGTCAGGCTGTATCTCTAAACCGTGATTATTAGAAAGTTGAAATTTTCACAAATCATGAATTTCTGTTGCCGCTATAACGACAAATACTAAAAACAATAATAAAAAATATTTTAGTGGGGTTCCCATATAAAAGACATTATCTTTTTACCGTTTTTATAGATAATGGAACGGAACCCTTCGTGTGCGAGTCCGAATCGCACCAAGCCGGTTTTTAAAAATGTTTTATTTGAAAACCATAATAAAGCGGCTGATGCTCCAGGCAATAACTAATACACTGAATTAATAATTATTTTTTGGCACAACATATTGACTGATTCATTTGATATAATAGCACTATGAACTTTACGCTAATAATGCCTGGCGTAAAAATTAGAAAAGTTTTCCTTAATATAGGTATTGGACCGTAAATCTAAAAAATATTGTTCAATAAATTGTCTTGACGAGACGGAGGCGCAGTTGCTTAGCTTTGCTTCGGCGCCATTGTCGCGGGTTCGATTGCCACACGGGACAAGTATCTGTGTGGTGCACGAATAATTCAACTGTGGTAGAGCCACGCGGCAGCCTCGGCCGTTGCACAAATGGGCAGGCTCGTCCGGGTAAGTACCACGACCTCACAGAAGACCGGCGTAAAGTGGAAGTATGACAAATACTTTCGCGTTTCGTCTGGTGAGTGAGGTAGCCGAAGCCCACGTTTCAAAAGGTTGTCAACGCATCTGTAACCCTCGGGTGTAGCACATATACATGGGCGGCGGTATTCACTTTACATTAGGTGACCTGCCTGCTCGCTTGTTAACTTTTTACATTAAAAAAACATAAACAATTACTCTGGATCTGGATGTTTGTTCCCAATGCGGATTGACCTCTGGCAGACGGCCGGTCGTAAAACCTAGCCATTACCAACGATTTGAAAGAATGAGAAATAGAAACCATAAGTTCTTAGTACCTAGATAACTTAGTATATTCTAACACTTTATTCAGCAGTAAGTGATAAGTAAATGATAGCTAATATAAGTTAAGCTAGTCACTGTACTCCTGCAAATGCAAGATAATTTTCATTTTATTCATACAGGGAAATTCATTTGTTTGATGATACTGTTATTAACTTACACTTCAAAACTTGTTTTGTTTCAATTGATAAATTGATAAAAATGATATTTACTTTTTTTGTAGTTTTCGCAATGGTTCAAATGTTTATATATTTTTTCAGGCCAAGTACGATTTCTGAGGCAGACTTACAGCAATGCATACGAGATTGCCCGGTAACAGCGGAGTACAATCCTGTTTGTGGAACTAATAGAGTCACTTACCCCAACCCTGGGAGACTTTTATGCGCCCAGGCGTGTGGCGTCAGTGAGTATAATTTTACTTGGTTTAGTATAGTCTAAGGCCTACAGGATTCGTTTAAAAATATAGGGTAGATCATGAGATGTATAACGCAACGTTTTAGGTTACTAATTATTTATTTATAATTTTTATTAGGGTTTCGAACCTAAAGGGTACCCACTGTCTATCTGTCTGTCCGTCTGTCACCAGGCCATATCTAATGAACTGTGATAGTTAGACAGTTGAAGTTTTCACAGATGATGTATTTCCGTTGCCGCTATAAGAACAAATTCTAAAAAACAGAATAAAAAAAATATTTACCGATTTGATACCGCTATAATATATATACCGCTATAAGTACAAATTCTAAAAAACAGAATAAAATTTTTTTTATCGACCTTTGAGATAAGAGAATGTTCTCTTCCGAAAAGTTCTTAAGTCGTATCGGTCCGGAACTACTGCTGGCGACAACTGATTCCACGACTCACTTGTGCGTGACAGTAAATAACAAGAAAACCGCACAATGGTGGACCACCAACCGTCAAGGAAGTGGCGATCGTATTTGTCAGTTGGTTCTGGTGATATTCAGCAGCAGGTATTAATCCGAACACCGGCAAGGCATTTTTGACTCCTCTTTTGTTGTGAGTGTTTATTGGCGAGATTAAACACTTATCATCAGGTTGCCTGACTGCTCGTTGGCGTCCTTTTCCATAAAAAACTTACACGAAATATTCTGTGAGGCTGTGGCACATTCCCGGTTTGAGCCGGTCTATTCTACATCAGCAATCACCAATGTGTGGCTCTGTGACAAGCCGATATTTCAGTGTCATTGTTTTGTCTCTCATTGTTTTGTTGTTTCACAACAACTTATAGAGCGAGCGCCTGAGGTTTTAAGGTAGCAATTTTCTAGTTTTGCGATAAACTGTGTACATCTTATGAAGAATAATAGTCCAATATAATGATAATACGCAGATTATTTCAAAGTCAAGATTTCTTTATTCAATATATTTTTTGAAGCTCTTCTTAAAAAAATTACCATCGGTTCACTTAATTAGACCTGTCCAAAGAAGTACTTTCAAGATACTCTGCGATCTTCTTATCTTTGTTTTAAACGACATATACAACATTGGTTAATTATAAAATCACCACCAGTCAGAGGACACCAGTCTTTGTTCTGCGCAAGAGCCATTTCCACACTATTAATATAAAAGTAGCGACTGGGTTATTGTCCACCAAATAATTAAATATATTCAAATTATAAAAATGCAGTCAAATAATTTTTAACCTCATCTTTATTTTTCAGGTGTCAATCTACTTAGAACCTCTCCTTGTCCTGCAAACTAGTTATTTTGTACTTAAACTTCGTTCTTAAGCACAATAAATAAAATGTGTATATGTCTAAACATTAAAGATTTTTCTACAACAAAATATACATAACGTGTTTTATTTTGATTCCTTACACTCTTATTTTTATACAGATTCATTTCGATGTTCAAAATTTAGAAATAAAATATCAGATATTAATTTTTCTGGAATTTTCTGACACCGATTAGCCATATTATTCATTTCTCATTGTTGCGTACAGAGTATATTACTTAATATTTAAATATTGTTTTTTTTCTTCTTACGTTTAGGAATCTAAAAACAGCACAATTTGGAAGTAAAAGGTTTTCATAATATTCACTTAACCCTTCTTTTTTTTCTTACTGGCAAGCACTCAAAATTTGAATCCAACGTCCGTTTTTGCAACGACACCCGCAATACCTTTGACCAATTGACCTTTCACTTACGTTCTAACTCCGAACAAGATTACGTGCGCGATTGGCTAACGTTAATACGTTTTGGCCAACCCCATATCTTTTTTCCCTTGCTCCAAATTCAATATCAAGACAGTACCTCTACCGCACCTGTGGATAAAAGGAAGTCGTGGACTTATCAGGCCAGAATATTTTCTACACCGGGCCCGGGTCGACGACGGCAACTGAAGATAGTCCAGGTCAGTGCTTGCCAGTCTTTATATTTCTTAACATAAAATTTGATCCTTGCGAGCCGCATCCTTACTTCCAGATCGTGCTGTCTTAGTATTTACTATTCCATTTATCACATTTTTTAATTTCGTACCTACGTACTTTTCACCTACGTGTCGGATAGGCCATCTTTGTTACACAAAATGCCGAACCCAGCAGTAGATGAACAACTCATGTGTGATGATTCATGCGAGCAAGATATGTTCGAACGTGATATTATATTAGATGATTTAAAAAGAACTTTACGGTTCACAACGACAGATGAACAAAAATTCCGTTCGCGAACAAAAGACCTTAGAGTACATCAAAGAAAGTTTAGTAAATTGCAAACAAAAATCGAAAAATGTCTAATGAAAACAAAACTGTAAACTAAAAAGTATCGAGGTAAATCATGATAATTCAGCAGATTTAATATGAATTAATGTGTTGTTTTAATCAAGTTCCTTGAATTTTATATTGAATAATATTAATGATAATACGGTTAACAATGAATATTGTATATTGGTTTACAGTTATTTAGTAACACTTTTTAAATATTTATTATCATTACCGCTAAAAGCCGAGCCGAGCCGTGATAGCTCTGTGTCCGGGCGCTCGCCTTTAATTCAATATACTCGAGCAACCTGAGTTCGATCCCCGGTGCCAGCACCAATGAAGGTTTTAACTTTAGGTGCTGACTTATCGCATGCTCCGCGGTGAAGGAAAAAATGCATATTTTCGAAATAATAACAAAAAAAATCGAAGATATGTGAAGTCCGCCAATCCGCAGTGGAGCCGCGTGGTGGACTATGCCCTGATACCCTCTGTATAGAGGAGTCCTTTGCCTAGCAGTGGAACATGTATAGGCTGTTACTTTACTACTTTTACTTTTTACCGCTAAAAAGTCCCCATTTGTCGTTACTCCTTATATTTGTGAGCACTCCCCTGTCTGCCACAGCTAGTATAAAATACTTGGCGGCGAAATCTCGTGCAATATCCAGTTCCGCGGTCAACTGGAAGGAAAGCCCAAATTCGCCTCAAAGAAGCTTGGTGTGCTCAGCAAGGCGACACGTCGGCTCAACGCCTAAACCTCTATAAGGTGCAAATTAAAGTTCTAGAAAAATAATATTTCAAAGAGTTTGTCGAAACTAATTTAGATTTTAAGAAAGGATTTTAAGGGTCGTTACAATCTTGCAAATTTTTAACAATAGTGAACAATTTTTGTAATCAAGACTTAAATCGAAAGTGCTTACTTTTCAAGATTTTGTAAGAATTCTTGTAATTTACCCAAAAACCAAATGTGCAGATCATTCTTTTTTTTCCTTGGACAATTAACGTAAATTTCCATGACACAGGATAGTCTAGGCCAGATACAAATGACATAACACGCTACTTTCTGTTCAATGCGATTAGCGCTTTCAAGTACAGATTGATGCAAATCATAACCTTAAATTAACATTTTGAAAATTTTTAGGACAATTATAAATCATTTATTCATATGTAGGAGGATTGCTACTTACAATCGGGAAAAAAAAAACTGATGTTTCATAATATACAAATTGTTATACGCACCCTACTCCCAAAACTTTGCCTCAATAATATTTTGAATGATGTCAGAATATATCAGCAATATTCTGACATCATTCAAAATATTATGCTAATTTGATGGTATGGCATCATATCATACGGATGAGGCAACGCAACAGTCTTCGGTGTTACATAAATGGGCAGGTCCGTCCGAGTAAGTACCCGAACTCATAGAAGACTTGCGTGAAATGGAAGTGTTATACTTCTGCTTTTCGTTTGGTTAATGTGGTAGCCGCTAATTTATTAAAAGGTGACAACGCACCTGCAACCCTACTTATGTTGCAAATGTCAATGGGCGGAGGTTATCACTCAATATCACAGGTGAACCGACAGCTTACTTGCCACCTTCTCACATAAAAGAAAAATGAAATTCAATGTGTTCTTTCGTCAGTAAGTTATAACTTCCATAATTCTTCATCAAAATTTAATGATTCAAACACTATCCTAATGTTTGGCGTTATTAACGAAAAATAGGCAATTAGGTTAAGGTTTTCATAAAAAACTTTCGTATGAAAAATTTTAAATGTTAAGTAGGGTGAAAACCTTTATTCTTCAGATTGAGATACCTTTCATTGATTAATTAATATTATAATATATTAAAAAACAGTATATATAACGAAAGATTTGAAAACATTGGCAAAATAAAGGTACCAACATAAATGGAAAAAAATTGAGTACCAGACCTTAGGTTCACTGATGAATACAGAGCGAGATATTTGAAGTCGGTTTTGTTTTTCGTTAATAAAAATATGGCCTTGTTATTAACTATTTTTTTTTTCAATCCGCAGTGGGGCCGCGTGGTGGACTATGCCCTGATACCCTCTGTATAGAGGAGGCCTTTGCCCAGCAGTGGGACATGTACAGGCTGTTACTTTACTTTTTATTAACTAATTTTTTTGACACTCATATATGCTGCTAGGTGCATTTTACCGATGCGCATTAAAGTAGTGGATACCTACATAGTTTCTAATAACACTGAAAATTTAACCTATGTCTTTCTGAATTATAATGTACCTTTCAAACAGTGAAAGAATCTCTCCAATGAGCGTAGGGGTTGACACACAAATTAGTATAGATATTGGGATCTAAGAGGCAAAACCAAGGTTTTAATTTGTGTTCATAAGACCCATGCGTCAAGACAGTTTCTACTAAGTACTGAGCTTCTATAAGATTAGTACCTATTCACACGCTGAAAATTACATAGTTCGGATGAATTACGATTCTAGATCATGTCATAGATTTCCTTCGATTAGTATAAAGTTCTTGACATAGTAATGAACGTCATAAACGAATCACCACGCATGTGAACAATAGTTTTACTCACGTGAATGGGTTTTCCCATTCTTTAATGTTTTTTTTTTACGATAATTAGTAAAATTCTTGCAAGATTTAGTCCGTTGTGCATACCTAATGTACTCATCAAGTCTAGAATTTTGCTACTCTATAATTTTTAAGTAACCAAATTTTCATTAACAAAATATATTAACTAACCAATTTGTTGCTTATAGCAATCTGTGAGCGAGACAGTTAATAATGAAATCTAAAACAAATTTGTTATCTTTTGATGACGTATCCTTTCGTTAAATACTTGAACTATTGACATCAATAAATTCGTTATCTTAAAAACTTCTGGTAAACCGTAATATTTTTACTGTTCTATAAAATACCAAAATTTCGTAACTCTTTTAGTAAGTAGTAATTTATAATCGTAGAAAAAAATCATGCGTCATAAAACAATTTTTAATATTTCCGCTAAAGCTGTGTCTCAGTGTCATCAAACCGGTTTTATTTAATGTGCTAGACGTTCCTCAGATGGGCAAACCCATGTTCTAGTTTGCTTTAACTATAATTATATTGCATACTGTTCTCAATTGTTATGTGGAAAAATAAACTGCCAGGTTTTCACAAATCATTATATCAAATGTTTTAAAGTATATATATTTTCCGTTTAACGTTATTTACAATATTTAATACTTTTAATACTTTAGGACACATTTTTACACAACATTCTCTAGTCCCAAACTAAGCAAAGCTTGTACTATGGGTACTAGAAAACTGATAAACATACTTAAACATACATTTTCTATTTGTAAATAAATACATGTTATACATATATAAACACCCAGACACTAGAAAAACACTATTTTCATCACACAATATTTTTCCAGTAGTGGGGATCGAACCCACACCCTCTGGCACAGGAGGCAGGTACACTACCCACTACGCCATTCGGGTCGTATTTGATTAACAACAATTGATAAATCATCCAAATGATCTGCGTGGTATCAAGAAAGCTGCGGTTCCGTGCTGAATCTATCCATCTAATACCTTTAAACGAGCAATTCTTGTATATATATATATATATATATATATTTATATAATCGGAATCTCGGAAACGGCTCCAGCCATTTTCATGAAATTTAGTATGTGCGTAGATTCGGAGGCGAAAAATCGATCTAGCTAGGTGTCATTTTTAGAAAATGTCCTTTTTTCCCTGTTTTCAGGGAATGAAAAATATTATTCGAATATGACGGTAAATTTCGCCGCAAAAAAAAATATTATATTAGCACGGTCGGTCATCGGGCAGTTCAGTTTCGTCGAGCCTCATTTACAGATTTAGAATGTCTTCACATAAATGATTATCAATAGATGGCATTACTGATAAGAAAATGTTAACCGAAAGGTTTATTATGAAACTATATTCTTAAGATTTTAAATAGCAGTGAACATAAGCTTGGAAATGGTGTTTCTATCATTCAAGAAGGATTATGACAAAATAAATTGTGGACCAAGATGTAAAGAAAACGACTCTTGGTCATCCCTACGAGTAAGTTTCTGCAGCTTGAGGATAAAATAGAATTATTAATTACTGAAACATTAACCCAAAGTTTATTTTGGGCTGTTGTCTGGAGAAGTTTAATTTAGAATTTCTAACTAACATAAACACTAACATAACAAAATTTTACTTTGACGGATTACGTGCGGTTTGATATAGCATATATGTATATAGCGTTAGATACAAAGTGATAGAACCGTCATTGGTGTTCAGAAGTTAGAATGAATAGTAATTATACATTAAATTAATCCAGTTTGACTTTTTCAATCATTACCATTGTGGCAAACATCATGCGCATCGCTTGCTATGATTGTTCATCTATTTTGGTCGTGATTGTGTGCTATATCTATAGAATTTTGTGAACTTTTCTATCGCCCTCGTGCAGTTTAAGTGATTATATTGCTTATTTTAAATAAAATTAAAGAAAATTGTGCCAAATCTTCTCCTAATCCCTCTTCTTATTTACGAGTTAACATATATTTAAAAAAAATTGTTTAAGATGTAAAGAATGTTTTGTAGTATAATTTTTATGCAAAAATTAAAAAAATTGAGACATTGTGATGCCGAATAATGCTGGTCCCCCACAAAATTTTGGATATAATTCATCTATTGAATTGGAATTCATAGTACCTATATAGGATCTTTGTTATATAAAATTAAGATAACTTTTCTTTTTTGGCAATTGACTAGTAATTTCCAACGTAATTCCCAATAATATTCCCATCTGGATAAAACAAAACTGTTGTTGGGAATTTACGTTTTGCCCACCACGGGTCATGAATATCTTGAACCCAGTGTATTAGTGATGTTACACGATTATTGGAGGTTTAAAGTTATAAATATTTATTCATATGTCGTATTGCGACATATTTGTTGATTTTTTTGTGTTGGTGATATAATATTATAGAGCACGAGCCCGTGAACGCCAGACCTTCGTCATTTTATAAAAGCTAAAAGTTTTTCAACGCATACTCCCAACACAGGTAAGAACGATGGACAATTATGAACTTTGGGTTACCTGGGCTCTTAGACCATTACTGTTAGTGCTAATATTAGTTGTTGTATTTTGAGTACCAGGGTGACATTGAAAGTTTTTAGAACTGGCCAGTTAGAAATATTGTCAATTAAATCTTCTTATAAATTTTGAACAAGGAACTCTTTGGTAAGCAAATGAATGCATTATGCATTAATTTGTCTTTTGTTTTTGTGAATTGGCGGCAATCCCACAAGTCTTGTCTTTTCAGTCCATGATTTATTACGACTTTTGTTGCTGTCTTAGTCAACAACAAAGCTGTGATAAACTTCGAATAGCATTTAATAATAATGAAGTTCCGTCCCGCACCACTGTTTACAACTAGTTCAATGAGTTTAAGCGTGGGTGTAGCAATCTCAGATGATCTGCGTGAGAGACCTAATTCTGTTGAATGAAGACATCTGGAGACAACATCAGTGCTGTGCAACGCATGATGGAGGAAGATTCGAGAGGAATTGTGGCGATTCCCATGGAATGGTGTCGCAAAATGATAGAAAAGCTCAACGGAGGTCACTTTAATGCTGTATTTGACATCGTCAATTGTAATGAACGTTTGATATATTGCCACGAACCCGAATCCAAAAGACAATCTGCTCATTAGGTGTTTCCCTCTGAGGATCGGCCAACCTAATTATAGAAAGGAAGAAATCAAGGAAAAAGATTATTGGTTCATTCTTTTGTCGAAAAGATCATTTCGCGACAGTTGTGGTGGAAGATAGGTGGGCAGTTACTGCGGGCTTGTTATATATGAACTGTTGTTTATCTGTTGTATATGTAAAATGTCCAACAGCAGCGTCCTCGACGGATCGTCCTTCTGGCGTGCTTCCGCGCACTCCGTGAAACAAAAAAAAATAATATTCGACCATGGCAGGTATCGAAATAAAGAGTCATCCGCCCTATAACTAGTTCAAAGATAAACTTAGAGGTATTCGCCTTAATAGCCCTGAAGATGCATTGAGTGCGTTCGAAAATGCCGTAGAATGGGCCCGATACTTTTCTCAGTGGTTCCATTGAAATAGAAGATGTATAGGGCGGAACGAAGAGTGCTTCGAACAATAATAACAGTACTGGCAACTTTGTACATTGAGCCGTTTTATGATTTTCAAAGAACTTTCAGTGTTACCCACGTAGTATGTAGTTATTTAAAAAAAAAAGGAAATAATTTTTGTCACCATCAAACAATTAGTCATTGAAGATTATGACAAATGCTAATTACTTTATTATGTTAATAACTTCTTCGTTTGCAAAGAAGAATCACAAGAAATAATTAAACTAATATTCATATATCAAATTAGTCGAATGCCCTTCGATTAGGACTAATTTAGTAATTTGTCTCTTTGTGCTAGAAATGTTGAAAACCTTATCATCTCATGACACTATTCCCAATAACCAGGTTTTATTAGTTTGTACATGAAACAGTAAATTAACTGTATTTCACTTGAGATCCCTTGCTCTGCTCAGGCCCTTGCTTTCTCTGTACATAGGGTATTAGGACATAGTCCACCATCCGACTCCATAGCGGATTGGCGGGCTTCTCATATTATGTTAGATTTTTATTTTTGCGTCGAAAATATGTAGGTTTCCTCACCATGTTTAACTTCAACGCTGAGCACTTGAAATTGCTGTTTGGAATTTCGTGTCGACACCGGGATGTAAATAACTTGCTCAAATATATCTGAATTAAACGCGAGCGGCAAGGCACTTGACACAAGAAGGAAACCAGACAATTTGTCGCATTCAAATATTTGTTTTATTAAAATGATATCGAGGATGTCGAAAATTTATCACACCCATCATTATTCCGAATGTCGGCAAAGCGGGAGAATCGCCACGTTATCGAGGAGTATCGTTTATAAACATCGTTGACGCTCATCGCTGGCCAGAGACGCTTTGGAGCGGGGAAGGTCGGTTCATTTACATTAGCTTGTGTGTCATTAAAAAAATACCAGTCAAAATGAAGAAATACTGTGTGTTTTTCCTTTTCGGTAAGCGAATATTTGAATTTTCTACTTTTGTTTCAGTGATTTCCTTTTGTGTTATCCTGCGATTTTGAATTTTGTATTCCATTAATTCTAGAGAGGTCGAAAGTCCAAATAAAAACATTAAATGGGATTTTACTCTTCGTCCAACTTTTCGGTTCAAAGACAAAGTATCAAAGATAGTTTCTATCAATTTCTTACAATTGTCCTGTAATATATTACTACTTATAACGATATTCTTCACTAATACCTTCCTTGTACGAAACAAACCGGTTATTCTAATTGTTCCATAATTTTATTTCTGTTATCTGCCATTGAATATTATTTTCTTAAATAGTAACTAATAACGGCCCTACTCGTTAAGGTCCATCGTGGGAGTTTATTTTATAAAACAATTTAATAAAGGGGATCATTTAAATTTCAAAGATGTACTTTGTGCGTTAAATATGTAGAATAGTCCAAATTTCATACATTTGTAGACCCACGAACAGGCAAAATATTACGAGTAGCTGTTATCCTGTGTGTCTTGGTATAACCCATATTTCCGAATTTTGTTGGTCTTGTTTCCATAAAGATAACACATATAAATAATTTGGAATCAACTGCTAATGAAATATTTACTTATCATCTTACAACTTATTCAACATTAGTTCTAACTTTTGATCTGAAAGTGCTTATAAAAAAATCGATCTGGTTCGAAATAAATTACCTTCCTAATTTATTAATTTATTTATTCTTATTTTATACATTAAAAGAGAATTGAGTAAGGGTATCTGATGAAATGTGTACACAATAATCTCCTAGATCTTTGTATCACTACATGTAATTAATTGTATTATTTGCAAGAAACGCCTTTTAAGGGCTCTTCTTAATAAGGGCTCTACTCATTTAAATGTTGATTTAAAAAAAAAATAACGTATAAACTCTCGTTTGGTATATATCAAGAGTTGATTATTGAAAGAAATGTTTCGTATAACCACGTAATTTTAGTAATTGCATCGACTCGACCCCTCGAACTCTATAAAAGATTTTGTAACGGAACTGCAAAAACAAGATTTTTATAGGTATTTTATTGGTGATAATTTACGAGATTTAACTAAATTTGTAAAAAACACCCTAACACTAAAATAGACTAGCTTATCGATATAACATAATACTTTAACTGAAATAGGTATACATCATTCATAGGTAATTTCATGTCACATTCAGCAATTAGCGTTAGTTCTCAGTTAGATTATTCTATTTATTAATGCCAGTATTTTTTGCTCTTTACAGTCCTAATCACAAAAGAGGCTTTCGGTGTTGGTCTCAGAGATAAAAGACAAACGGAGGAGAAAAATGAGAGTGAGGTAGAAGATAGGTACGGCTTGAACGGGCCGTTTAATCCCAGGCAGCCGCAGCGGCCAATGCAGTACCCGGACCAACCCTCTTTCGGACAATGGGCCTACCCAGGAGTATATCCGGGTCAAAATGTGTATCCTGGTCCAGGGCGATTCCCCAACTTCGGGTTCCCCAACCCAAATCAGTTCCCAAATCAATTCCCAAATCAGTTCCCAAATCAATTCCCAAATCAGTTCCCAAATCAATTCCCAAATCAGTTCCCAAATCAATTCCCAAATCAGTACCCGAATCAGTTCCCGACTCAGTTCCCGAATCAGTTCCCGAATCAGATTCCGAATCAGTTTCCTCAGAACCCGAATCAACAACCCAGCCAGCAGACAACAACACAGCAACCAATTGACGGGTAAGTTAAAGACAATTTGTGACTGTAAATAGCGCTTACATGTGTAACGTATTTTAGATTCTTCGTACATTAGAAGCCTTTAACTGATATGGTCTATATTTAACTTCTATCAGTGTTTAAAAAGTAAATCACACGACTGATTTTATTGATTATAGTTACATAATGAGTAGCTAGTGATAAAGTCACACCATCACTGCTAGCTACTTTTTAGGATTTCATATATATATCCAATTTGTAACTTTAGGCAATTAGATTATAGAAATTTGTCATATTATGAACTAAACCGTCAGAAAAATAGCTGTTACTCGGCGGAGAGACAATTGTTTTACTATTAAAATATTAATTTTACGTTAAGAGCAATATTGACTTTCGTCTGGTGAGTAAGGTTACCGGAGTTAAATCTTTAATGTTGGCAATGCTTCTGCACAGGTGTTTTAGATGATCATAGGTAAAGACATCATTTAAGCAAACTGCTCGGTTTTTTACCTTTCAAAATGCATAAAGTACAATTTTTTCATATTTCGATGCTCTTCTAATTTCACGTAGCAGAACCGGTACCGGTTAGTTCTGTTTTATTTTGATAATGTTTCGATCTACCCACAGGTCCTCCACTTCAGCTGATAACAGCCTGGTCGTGCAGGACTGCATCAGGAATTGTCCCGTGACGACAGAATACAATCCAGTCTGTGGCACCAATAGCGTGACATATCCTAACCCTGGCCGCTTGATGTGTGCGCAAGCTTGTGGAGTTGGTAAGTATACTTCTAAATAATGATGGCAATTTATTGGGTTGTCTAGAAGATTTTTAAGCAAAATTGAGACACAGATCAGTTAAATTTTTCTATACATTCACGACCCAAATGGTGTAGTTTACAGTGACCCTATCCCATGCGCCAAAGTGTGGGTTCGATCTCCAGCACGGGAAAACTGGTTTTCCTAATATATAGGTGTTAATATAACTATAATATGTATTAATTTACAAAAGACAAATATGTTTACGAATGTTTATCAGTTGTCTAGTAAGCATACATGCTTCGTACAACTATGCCAAAGTTCTCTATTCCCAAACTATGCAACTAAGCAACGCATAGTTTGGGAATAGAGAACGTTGTGTAAAAATGTTTCCTAAAATATTTAATAAAATATCAAATTATATAGTTACCATTCTCATCTGTTCCACAAACTTTCTCCATCTTTCATGAAATTTCAGAATTCTTTTAATATATTTTCCCATTCTAGCGGTGAACTTGCTTCGATCATCTCCGTGCCCGGCCACCACCACGGCGGTTCCAGTCTAAAGGAAAATTTATAACACTATGTAAATGATTGAAATTAAACAACATAATTTAAGCATGATGAAATTTATTTTGTATTCTAATAAGTTAGTTCAGTTTGAGTATGATGTGGACTCGAGCTATTGCACCTGCCTTCTATGAGGTGACAATACGAACTGTTAAACTTTTAAACCTATGATTCCTTGCGTTTTCAAACTTTGATACCGAAAGTCATGGGACAGATATAATATATTATTGTAACAAATAATTCTGCATATCATCCATTGCTTAGGTCGACAGCCAAAGGCGTATATAGGGGGAGGAGGGGGGCGTGAATACAACTGTACATTGTGCGACCGTTTAGTCGGTTCTTCCCCAGTTAGAAACGTTCGACGACGTAATTTTTCATACCCGCTATTTTTGTATGGTCATAATACGCAAAGAAAAATATGTAAAGTAATTTTTTTGGATTTCATTTGCGCTTGACATAATTTTGTCCTCCTTTATGGTTATGAGCCTTATCTTGGCCTTCTAAATACACGAAAACTCGTCGGCGAGTACATTACAATAGATTACATCACGTCCCTGGCAGGTTTTCATCTATTAATGATATAAGCGTTGCTAGAGTTTCTTCTCCCAGTGCTAACGCAAAGTGTTAGTAATTAATTAGTCTTAGAAATTCTTCTAGCCAGAAAATAGCTCCCCTTTGAGTCGAGTTGCGGTCCTCTCGGGCCCCTGTAAGAAAGCAAAACGGTCATTGAGTAACAACCTAAGCCGATAATCCCTCCATATCTCGAATTTAATCACTCTTAAACGAGATTCGGGCTAGGTGCCCTCAGCCCCGTCCAACAGTTAACGATCCAACCAAAAAAAATCTGCCTAATTCAATGAAAAAGGTGCAGAGAGACACATTTTAATTTATAAAGACAAGGAAAGAGACAAATTTTAAATTATAAGGTGTTATTCGCTGAAGTTTTATGCCTACATAACAGTCTTCTCTGATGTACCAATAGGCATGTCCGTCCGAGTAGGTACCACGACCTCACAGGAGACTTGCGTGAAGAAAGTGTTACACTTCTGTGTTCGTCTGGTGATTGAGCTACGGGTGTTGTAAGTGGTTTTAACTTAACATCAAGTAAACCCCCAGCTCGTTTGCCACTTTCTCACATAAAGAAACATACTGGTTTTTTGTATGAAGGAAAAACTAACATTTCCTTAACTACCGAGTTATTTACGTCACAGATAAAGGCAATAAGAACAAACAAGAATTTTTGGTTTGGAATAATTACGTGTATATTGCTTCATCGAAGATGAGCCCTACATATTGTCGTTAGATTTATATCTATTAAGCTAACCTTAACAAATCTGTCAAAAAATACAACTACCACGAAAGGTTGGGATTGCCCAATTTCAAACGCATAATTATGACATGTAAGAAAATTCTACATTCTTAAAAATACAATAGAAATAAAATATATTACACACATTATTAGTCTAGTTCATAGCTCCGTTCATCATTAAAAAGAAAAGAAACAAAATTATTTAGGCTACGCAACTATTTCTGTCTATTTTCGTCAATAGCAGCAATAAATTTTAAATGGTGTTTGAATCATTAAGTTTCACGAAGAATTAAGGGATTTATGGTGTACGGACAAATAAATACCTTTGAAAAATAATGGTATTTAGATGTTGTAACTCTGTACTTTCAACTAAATATCGATGATTTGTATTATTTGTATAATCTTTTACCTTCATAATATAAGAAATGCTGAATTGAATATTCAACCGTCTGGTTGTGATTGATTTCCTCATCGAGCGTCTCTAATAACCATTCGTCTGGCTCTTATTCTGGTGTGTCTGAAACCCACCTATCATGTGGGGGTGATTCCACAAATTTACAAGTTCATCGTGAAATAATGAAGTAGTATACCAGTGCTGATTCTGTTGAAACAACTAACGCCCAGTTTTTGAAACACTGATCATCGTAGAAGTTAATTAAATAGTTAAATCACTAGTAAGTCGGAACATCTATTGGTCAAACGTAGGTATTACTTCATGTGTAGTATAATGGAGTTAACAACTAAACTCGAGGACGAGGCGCGAGTAAAATGGCAAATCTCCTTCTTGTGACTTATATAATTGTATTTTGTATTTTGGTTGACTGATGTTACGCTTTCAGTCCTTAGACTATTAAAGCTTCATCGAACGCAGAAACGGAGGGCTAGCCAGAACCCCCGGGTTTGAGCTTATAAAAATAATATTTTTATGCTTAACTGTTCGTACAGTTAATTTATGAGGAACGTTCATCAGAAAACATACTGCGAACCAGTTTTTTACGTGGAGTTGCAACACTTGCCTATATTTTCTTGTTCTGTTCTTAAAATGAAATTAATGTTTTATTCAAATTTTTCTATTTATTTTTGTCCTCTATACAAAACTACAAAACTTGAGACATGGCAACGTTTGTCGTATAATACTGGTTCTCTTTAAAATTTAAATATAATGATAAAAATATATTTATTGCAAGACTGAGATGTTTAACTTCATAATGTCAGGTTACCGATTTTTTAGGAATTCATTTTGTCCAGTCATTTTGATCTTAACAGTATTTTGAAGTGATAAGGGTTTGGGTTTTTGATTTCTTGGTGATTTTTTTTTTTTTTGGATTTAATTGAATTATTCGATCTCATGCTAAATAGGTTAAAACTTTTCTTTTTTGTCATAACAATAGAAAATGGCGTAATTCCCGAATATCGTTCCCGTCTGGAAAAAGCCAAACTGTTGTTGGGAATTCACGTCTTACCTACCACGGGTCATGAATATCTTGAACCCGTTTTATTAGTGATGTTCCACGACTATCGTAATTTTCATCGATATACGATCATTCCATAAAATTATATTAATGACGTTCCTGTTGTACTTTTGTTATTCTTACTAATTAAATTATTAGTAAATGAAAAAAACACATAATTAATTTATATAAAATATGCGCGCTGCTCCGCCATGTAACAAAGTTATAAATATTTATCCATGTGTTATTAGAATATAGCCGTGATAGCTCAGTGTCCGGGCGCTCGCCGTTAATTCAATATACTCGATCCCCGGTGCCGGCACCAATGAAGTTTTTAACTTTTAAGTGCTGACTCATCACGTGCTCCTCGGTGAAGGAAAACATCGTGAGGAAACCTGCATAATTTCGAAATAATAACAAAAAAAATAAGGTTTTTGTTAATATTTTTGTTACCTACAGATAAAATTCGTTCCCGAGAAGTGGTGACTTCAGGCAGGGTGCTGGTCGTAAAAAACCTAGTCAAAACCACTTAAAACATGATTCACATGTTTTGCCAACCTCCCTTATCCCACCTAGCTGGGATAAGGGCAGGAGGATGATGATAATGAATATTGGTTACTGTCTAAAGAGCATTTGTGCTCGTGTGTCGGTTGGCATGGTATAACTTCGTTGAAATGGAGAAAACCATGAGGTGAGAAGATGTCTTACAACACTTTTCCCACAAAATAAAACAGGTTTTACTACATATAGTACATTAAAAAAGTAATTTAACTATATTCGTATATGTTCCAAATATTTTTTTATTTTTGAATATCAGGTTCATCTGTCTTCAGAGCTGAGCACATCATGATCATTTAGCACTTAAAATTGCAATAAACATTTTATTAGTGCCGCCACCGAGGTTTTAAACTCGGTTTTCCGAGTATACTAGACACTTTTTTTTCAGTTATCACGGCTCCTTAACATAACAATCTGTTATCCAAAAATAAAAGGAACTTACAAGAAATCGGACAATTTTTGCATTCAAATGCATTTTCATTAAAATTATATCGTGGATCCGAAAAAATTGTCATTATTCCGAAAGATGACAAAACTGGAGATACACGCCAAAAGCGGGTTGTTATTTATGTTTAGTTATCGAGCAGGTACTAGTTTATAAGCATCGTTGACGGTCATCGCTGGCCAGAGACGCTTTGGACCCGCGCCGGGCAGATCGCTTAATTTGCTTGTGCGTCATTAAAAAAAATACCAGTCAAAATGAAGAAATACTGCGTGTTTTTCCTTTTCGGTAAGCGAATATTTGAATTTTTGTTTTTGTTTGCGTTTGTTTTTTGTACTTTTATGTTGTAATTCATCGATTCTAGTTGAAAACGACATTTTATTTCAATTTCAAAAAAAGATTGGTTGCAGTGCTTTCTACCTAGTAAAGAATTAATTCAACTTTTACGAAAGTAACGAAACAATGTTTTAGTTAATTATTATTTAATCACAACAGTATTAAATATTGAGTTTTTATTTTTTTATTCAAACATAGAATTTGTATTGCAGTCATTTTTGAGGTCGCAGATGCAAAAAATGTAAAGACGAAATGAGAATTTACTCTTAATCCAATATTTTCGGTTAAAACGAAGTATTTAAGATTTCTTACTATTATTCAGTTCTTATTTCTTGCACTTGTGCGTCCCTGTATATTGGTTGAGTACACTTTTATATTACTATTTATAATGATATTCTACACTAATGACCTTCCCTGTAGAAACAAACCGGTTATTATAATTATTTGATAATTTTGTTCTCTGCGAATGAATATATTCTATTAAACATTGACTTTAAAAGGCTCAGTTCTTTAAGGTGCATCGTGTGAATTTATTATACAAAACAATTTAATAAAGTGGATTTAGAAATTTTAATTTGTTTTAGTGCTTATCTCTGCCCTTAGAATTTAGAAAAGTGAATTTAAATTAAAAATTCATATTTGATAAAGGCGTGCACTGTGTGTTAAATACTTAGAATAGCATATATTTCATGTAGGTATTTGCGGACCCCCGAACAGGGCTAAGCAACAGTATAGCTACTATTATGTATCTTGGTAGTAAGTACCTTGGTCGTATTGTAGTTGTTCTTGATTCGATATTTTTAATTTTCCTCATGCAAATACGATCTGGTTCAAAACAAGATGCATTCTAATTTATTTATTAAATTATTCTTGTTTTGCACAAAAAATGTACACAGGATCACTTATGTAAACGTAACGGTGGTAGGGCTACGCAGCAGCCTCGGCTGATGCACGACTGGGCAGGCCCGTCCGGGTAAGTACCACAACCTCACAGAAGACCAGCGTAAAGTGAAAGTATGACAAATACTTTCATGTTTCGTCTGGTGAGTGAGGTAGCCGGAGCCCAATTTTCAAATGGTTGTCAACGCATCTGCAACCCTAGGGTGTAGCAGATGTCCATGGACGTATTTCACTCACATCAGGTGAACCGTCTGCTCGTTTGGCAACTTTTCACATAAAAAAATAATAATGATGCCGTTAACATTATCTACCAATCAAACTTAATTTGTTTTTTTTATTTATGACAACTTTCTTTGTTCGTTGCTTTTTTATGTGTCAAACTAGCTGGCGTTTCACCTTATGTTACGTTATAACCGCTGCCCATAGACATTTGCAACACTCGTAGCGTTGCCGATGCATTGCCACCTTTTAATAAACCGGACCGGCTACCTCACTCACCAGACGTAACGCAGAATTGTAACACTTCTACTTGACGCTGGTCTTCTGCGAGGTCGTGGTACTTACCCGGACGGACCCGCCCTTGGTGCAACAGCGAACATTGTTGCGTGGCCGTAACACAGTTCAGAGAAGTATCCTAATATAGTACAGACCTCTGAATTCGCAATGAAATGGCCAAGTAAATTGAGCTATTTAATGCCATCTTTTTTAACTTAACACACTCACGGCCCTGTTAACTCGTTTGCAATTTGCATACGTCACGCCGACCGACCAACCAATCTAATCGAAACGTCCGCGTCACGTACTCTTCAATCCGGTCGAAGAAGGGGGTGGTAGTGAGATCCACCGGCGGTCACGCACGTAGTTTTAACTTCCAACAACCTGAACTTCACGTTCGCATACGAACAAGGCAAAACCAATACACCATTACATACCATACCCAACGCCTCAGTTTGATGATACGCATGTAGATATTGGCTTTCCACGAGATAAAGCTTTATAAAGTCTACATTATTTTTTTATCTTTTTTAGTGTCTTTTGTCCTATATGGGAATGTCAGTCCCATCGTAACTTAAGCAATAAATGAAAACAAAAATAAACCGTAACATTTTTGTCTGTTTAAAGCTAAATTATACAACATTCCAGCTTCGACAGAAGTCTGCTCACTCAACAAACTGCATTATTCCTACATCTAAACGATTTAATTTTGATTTTATTTCTACCGCTTTCCCGGCATCATACGACCTACAGTTAAGTGACTTATGCCCTAGAGTCGACTAAACCCGTATAAGTGTAAACAATTTACATGAAAAAAGTGATAAGATTTCACAGTGATATTACCTTATCGGCAAATTTATCAGCTATCTCATTACCTTGCATACTAATTTGTGATAGAAAAGTACTGCAATTTAAAAAGCTTTCCCTTCTTATTAACCGACTTCAAAAAAGTAGGAGGTTTCTCAATTCGACCGTATATATTTTTATTTTTTTAAGTGTGTTCGCGGATAACTTCGTCGTTTATGAACCGATTTTTCTGAATCTTTTTTTTTTGAAAAAAGATATTGCAACCGTAGTACCATGATAAGGAGACCCGGATCTGACAATGACATCCCAGAGAAATCGAGGGCATTCCTCAAATGTTATAGGTATTAACAATGTTTTTTAGTTTCCGGTTTGAAGTCCTTTTTTTTTGTTATCAATAAATTTCTTGGTACAAATCTGTCTATTTAAACGTTGGCTATTCAAAACATAAAATATTTAGTCATAGAAAGTTAAGTGTTGTATTACCACGCAATTCTAGTTTTCACTTGACTAGGCTCGACTCCACGAACTCCATTAAAGGATAACGGTAACGCACGCGCAACAGAAAAATGGACCAGTTCATAGATATAAAGTTCAAGAATATAATGCTTTATTAAGACCTGATTTTCATTCATTCCCAAGAAAATTGTATGCGTAGGGAACAGGGTATGTTAATGATGATGATAATTGATGAATGATTCATCAGTCATCCCTTAGTTTTTAGTTATAACGTCACTTATGCCAATAATTGGTCGTTTCCTTTACAGTGTTAATCACGCAAGATGCTTTTGGCTTTGGTCTGAGAGGCAAAAGACAAACGGAGGAGAAAAGTGAGACCGAGTTAGAAGATAGATACGGTTGGAACAGGCCGTTTTATCCCAGAGAGCCCCAACGGCCAAACCAGCCCTCTTTCGGACAAAGGCCCTACCCAGAATTTTATCCGGGTCAAAATTTGTATCCTGGTCAAAGGCAATTCCCCAACTCTGGATTTCCCGATCAAGGCAGGTTCCCCAACCCGGGTCAGATCCCGGATCAAGAACTTTACCCCGGCCAGCAGACAACCACACAGAGACCAATTGACGGGCAAGTAAAAACAGATTGAGACTGTAAATGTGTAATTCATTATTAATGTTTAATACATCCGATGCCTTTAACTTATATAAATTATATTTAAAATATAGTAACCATAAAAAACCTGTTACAGAAACAAACATGACTCATTTCTATGGATTCATTAAAAATGAACGCTAGACCTGGATTTTTGTATTTTTTAACAATCTCTAGTTAGAATATGATAAGGGAAGAGAAAATTTATCACTTGAGTATTTTGGACAGTAATTTGGAAAAAACTTGTTGTTTTCTCAAAAACTCTATTTCGCTAATGTTCTGATCTGCCATTAGGTCCTCAACTCCAGCTGATAGTGACCCGGCCGTGCAGGACTGCATTAGGAGTTGTCCCGTGACGGCAGAATACAATCCAGTCTGCGGCACCAATAGCGTGACATATCCTAACCCTGGCCGCCTGATGTGTGCGCAAGCTTGTGGAGTTTGTAAGTGTTGTTATAAGTAATAATCTTAATGTAAATCAGGACAATATTATATCACCGATGTCCTGACCTATTTTCGAAATAATAACAGTAGTATCGATTAAGATATCTTATTAATAGACCCGCCTGAAAAGAACCAAATTTTATAATAAAACTGTTCGAACAGATACGTTTCATCTTAACTTAATCTACTTCTTTAATTCTTTAATTTAGTTCAAAACCCGACGGCGGCATAATGAAATTGTTGATTGGAATATTAAGTGCTGTCTTATTACGTGCTCAGTAATGAAGAAAACATTGTGAGGAAACCTGCATAGTCTAAATAACATTTTTATTTTCAAATATATGTGAAGTCTGTCAATCTGCAGTGGGAGACTCTGCCCTAATACCCTCTACACGGAAGAGGCGTCTGCCCAGCAACGTAAATAGGCTGTTACTTTATATCGTATTACATCTGACTTAAATGGTGAAAAGTTAAACCAGGTTTATCTTAAGGTTTAACTTTTCACCATATTAATGAAGTATTCACCTAAAATTAAAAATTAAATACACTACATACTTTGGTACTTAATAGGAAGCTAGATTGACAGTTTTAACTACTTGACAAAGATACAGGCGATTTTGTCTCCGACTGTACCGTTGTCACAAGTTATATCTTACTTTCGCGTAGAAACCAGAAGAAATTTCGTGTATATTCTAATTATCATTTTTCTCACTCTAGCGGTGAACTTGCTTCGGTCGTCTCCGTGCCCAAGCACCACCACGGCGACTCCAGTCTGAAGATAATTTATAACATCATACAAATGATTTAAATTAAACATAATAATTAAAACATAATGAAATATGTTTAAGTTTGTATAATTTAATTATTGCCAATAAGCGAGACTTGGTTTGAGTGGTAAAATTTAAAGAGAATCGGATCCACATGTTTATGGGACATGGACACGAGCTGCAGTTTCACCTGATGCCGATGACCTCAGAAAAAACCTTCTTATATAATAATAAAAGGCTCCTTCATTAGTTGCATTGACAACGCGGGACCCAGTTTTTGACTCCCAAATGCGAAACAACTATCTGTGGATAGAAAAGAATCCAAAGCCAATACTACTACTTCGGCAACTGCGCCACGGAGTTATCAGATGGACTCAGGAATTACGTACGCCCATACTTAGGTACTATTTAAAAGAACTGATTTATACCAATGTTACGAATCAATGTTAAGGTGCGCAGTGCAATTGGTCGCGTAATCACAAGTCGGACCCACCGTCGGGGGTCCCGCCTGATAACACTACACCCACAAGTTTGTTAGCGTAACAACAAACACATCAGTTCGTCTCCGAGCACGGCGAGACCAACACAACGCGTACACAAGGTACACCCGCTTTCCACGTTGGTCCTCACCGCTCCCAGCTACTTGTACCCGATTAGCTAATTGTACAGGCGACGGCCGATGGCCCTTTAGATGACACACCATAGTTAAATGCACGCATGAGCAAAAACGCGGCCCTACCCACGGCAGAGGGCCCAAACCCGTGGGTTCTGGCTAGCCCACCAGATCTGCGTCGAGATAAAGCTTTAATAGTTTCGGGACTGAAAGCAAAAACATCATTTAATGCAAGATACAAGAAGCGTAATCATTATCTCAGGACATTGACTGCTAATAAAAAGGAAAATTGTGCGACCGGTTAGTTGGTTCTTCCCCAGTTGGAAACGTTCGACGAAGTTATCTTTATAGTCGCTTCTATTGTATAGTCTCTTGTGTTGTGTGGCTTTTATTGTTAAGAAAAACAAATGTAAAATAATCTCTTAATGCATTTAATTTGCATCTGACATAATTTTGACCACCGTTATGGTTGACCACAATAAAATACCATAATCAACATGTTCTTATTCTGACGACGCTGTGTTAATGCCATGGTTGATAGATTTATAAAAAAAAATATTTTCTTCCACTTTAAGATATCTGCAAAGAGACAATTTTTTAATTTGGCGAAAATCAGAAATGGATATGACCCATACCCAGAAATGTTTCCGTTCTTGTACATACTAAATGTAATTTGATGTAATTAATATTTATTTAGCGATTGTCTGTACATAAGAATGTTACTTTAATGATATTTTGTTGCTTTAAAATATGATTACATGGTTTTATAAAAGGTTCTTCGTCTAGTATAAACTTAAGACTTATGGTGACTATGGGACTAACAATCGTACCTACGTTCGTGGAAAATTTCGTAAAATGGACTTTTTTGGCTTATTAAAACCACTCGAAATATGGTTATGGCCTTCGCATCCAATGCACGCCAAAAACCCACAGCAACCTCCAGAAATAAAGAGTACGACGAACGTGAAGAACAAAGACAAGCACTAGATAACTCTTTTAAAGGAGTCATTTGTTTGTGCTGTTTATATTTCTTTACTTGGATTCCGGTCTTCTTTGGCACGTTCATTTGAATTTTTTAATAATTGGCATATTCCGGGCCATTTTATACATATATGAAATTTACGATGTTTCTAGTACATTTTACGTTTCACATTCACGCCTTTTTACACAAATGTGGGAGATACAGTGACAAGTTATGCCTACTCATTTTTCAGGTTTTTTTTGTACAACTTTGTTTCTACAAACCTCTATTTAACACTGTCAATGGAGATAAATTAATCAAATATCGTGCACAAATAAGAGAAAGGATTTATGCGCTGAGAAAGTCCTAAAAGAAATCATTTGGCAATTCATTACATTCAAATATAAGACAACAGATATTTCGTGTCATTACAAAATATAATATAATATATAACAATTGTATTGCGTAACGCATAGACGAATAACATTTTCGATTATTTATTACTTTCTTAGGTTAAGGAAAACCCTATTTCATTCAATTCAAGCCATTTACTTCATAGAATAAAGGAATAGGAACAAATAAGACGTCTTTGTTCAGATAAATACATACATTTCATTCAGTACTACATATTGGCATTAAATAGATATTAAGGTTAAGAATTAACGAATCCACAATTGCACAAAATGCATTTAAAAATTGGGATTGCCCAATTTTAAAAGCATATATATGACATGTGATAAAATTGTGATTCGCAAATGCTTACACTTCTTAAAAATTCTGTTGAAATATAGCGAATTACAGGTTTCTGTTTAAAATGGTAGACTTGTCCAGGAAGTGATTTTAATTTACAAGACGTGTACTTTACAAAAAAGATATTATTAAAGTACAACGGAAATCGTATTTTATATTGATGAGTAACGCAGGCCTAATTATATTTCAGTCTGGTTTTGTCTTCATTTAATTTTTAATTTAAATGAAGACCAAGCAATTAGCGTCATCATCAACCGTTATATTAACTATTTATAGGATTTTTTTTAATTATATATGATCTGCAAGAACATTTAGGGTGGTAAGGCCATGCAACTGTATTCGCTTTTGCACGAATGGGCAGGTCCATCCAGGTTAGTACCACGACCTCACAGAAGACCGGCGTAAAGTAGAAGTGTTGCATTTTTGCGCTTCGTCTAAAGGTGAGTGAGGTAGCCGGAGCCCACATTATTAAGAGGTGGCAACGCAACTGCAACCCTACGGGTGTTGGAAATGTCCACGGGCAGGCGGGTACCCTTAACATCAGGTGAACCGCCAGATCGTTTGCCACTTTGTCACATAAAAAATCTTCAACACTAACGAATAATTTCTCCTCTATGACTAAAGGCGAAATTCTAATTCCTAAAATCTGTTCGTATTATGAGTTTAGTATCTTCAAATTATACTGGAAAAAATAAAACACAATATTGACAATTACATATGAGACAGATGTCGACATTCATAGTATCAATATATAATAATGCGATACGAATTCAGTACTGCGTACAGTTCATTTAAAAATGACCTATATCGGGTCATAAGTTCTTGTTAGTTCATTTGAAATGTTATCGTCGAAAATAGAGAACTCAGTGTCGTCAGAACAGAAATGAAGTGTTACCATACGCAGCAAGATTTTTGAATAGATGTCAGAAAACAAAGTACCACGCGCGCATCCAAGGTCGCGTGGTGCCACCGTTGTTACTGGTACGTACATAACATATTTGCCCCATAGTGAGGATGCAAAGTAAAAAGTTTACCAATGGGCTGAGTCATCACAAACTTAGTAACTGAGAAACACGTTTATCGCAGGTGGGGTTAGAGAGGGAAGGAGACTAGTGTATACACGTAAGTAAGATCACTACAGCCATTCAATATCTTGGCCGATACGGAGCCGTTTACTTGAACGTGGCCGCCCAAGAGTTTGCGAATTATTTTATTTTTAACATAGCTGATTCAGAACTGTTTACACTGACATGGCTAGATATATGATATTTTTAGGTGAGTTTTTTTTTACTTTTTTTTCGATTATACATGATTAGTGCGTCTGTTTGTTTTGGTTGCCAAATCTGTACATTGATTAATTGTCATCAGCTAAGCAATTTGGCACGAAAAGAAAACAATAAACTAATTATTGATTAACATATGTTAGAATGCACTCTATTTTCATATTAATTGACAATGCAAAAACATCATAATGTTAAGTAAAATTAGTATCATACTTATACATACATACTATACTATTTACTACGTGTAAATGTAGTTCATATTCAAGTTTTTTATCTTTTTTTTTCTTTAATAGTTAATACATTCATTTAGTTCTTTTTATCTAAAATTCAAGATTCGCAGTTAGGTCATCACTAAATCAAAACAGATTTTAATATTTTATGTACATTATATTGTTGACATAAATTGTTTCAGTGCTTTCTTCGTTAACAAGTTCAATGGTTAACGGACGAAGTTGGCGCAATGATTTCCCAAAAGGGAAAAATTATGGGGACCGCGGCATAGTGTTCGCGATCCCGCATTGGCACCATGAGGGCAGAAGCTCCGAAGATTGGGGGTATGGCAGTGATAGTCGTGAAACAGACTACAAATGGTTGAGGAAATGGAACCCTGATCGAGTATGGTTCCCAGATTTTGGCGATAAGGTCTTTTCATCAGGGTATGTAGAATTTTTACAAGTGCTGTTGTTTCTTTTTTAGGAATTAGATATCGATTGTCGCTTAAACAATATTACAACATTTTCAAGAAAAAAACCGCCCAATTGTGAGTCGATAAAAACGGCAAAAAATTATGTCTCTTGTATGGGAGCCCCACTTAAATATTTTTTGTTCTGTTTTTTAGTATTTATTGTTATAACGGCAACAGAAACACATCATCTGGAAAATTTCAACTGTCTAACTATCACGGTTCATGAGATACAGCCTGGTGACAGATTGACAGATTGACAGACGGACAGACAGACAGAAACCGAAGTCTTAGTAATAGGGTCCCGTTTTGCCCTTTGGGTACGGAACCCTAAAAATTGGGGAATTTCTTTGATAATTTGAATTTTTTTAAAGCTTATGCATGAATGGCTCAACTAGAGAAAGATTATAATTTTCTGGTAGTCACTATGGAACTCAGATCTATTATGAAAGATGACAAATATAATGGTTGATGGTTCTTAATAACAAATAGTAGGTACAGCTGTACCTACGACGCATACTTGCAACGTGGGTTTGCCCATTGGATGTGACCTCGGCTGGCGAAGGTCGAAATTATTCACATCTATTTTTATATTGATCTGCACTGACAGCCTACTTCGTGGAACCTCACTTGCGATATAAAGTCACAGATTCGAATACCGTCGTATTCAAGAGTAATACTTCTTTGGATTACTCACATGTGAAATCGATAGGCCTACTATTTTTTATGTGATTAGGTGACAGGTAAGCGAGCAGTTCACGTGATGTAACCAACCATGCAAATTCGCGAAGCCTGTGGGATTGTAGATATATTGTCAGCCTTAAAAAGTGTAGTGCATCAGTTACCGTACTTAAACACACAAGTATTACACTTTACACTTACTCCGGTTTTCTGTGAGGGATTAGTACTATTCCAAAAAAAACTTGCTCGTTTATTATATACAGAATCTGCTATCTAATTCTAAAACATCATAGTTAAAATTTTGTAATTAAACAGCTTGTCCTAAAAACTGTGGCAATTAAAAGACGTGAAACATTGTTCCATTAACATTATTCCAAATTTAAAATTGTATATAACAATTCATTTAATTTGGTTTTTCCTCTAAAACAAGTATCAAAAAAATAATTAGTCCCATAAAACGGAATCAGTTGCCGTTTCTGTAGTTATTTTCTTTATACATAAGTCGTTTTTTTGACGTTGCGGTCGGGGGTTTTCTAGAGAACTCTTGACTGTAACCATGCTCTACTCAACTTCTATTTTTAGCTTTTGCTCAGGAAGCATGAAGTTCTTTGCGTACAATTGCGAAATCTGTTCTTCCAAAATTTACACGTTGAACATGGTTTTCTATTCGGTTTTAATGATAAATGTTGATTTGTTATGGTTCTCATGTTATCTTTACTATAAATACCACAGCTGTTTGCATTAAGCAATAGCGTATACGAGGTCACATACAATCAAATTCCTTATGGAGCCATTTAAATGCAGTTGCTCACACTAACGCCTCGACTGGGGAAGTACCTCAATTCGAACAATCGACGCTGAGTAAACGTGCCTGGCCTTCTCCTTTATATTTTCAAGTGAGGTAACCCTGTAACCTTCTTTAAGATTGGCAACGTCATTGCAACCCCTCAGGTGATGTGGATGTTTATTAGCAGCTTTTTTGGTAATATCAAGTGAACCTATCACTCACTAGTTATATATCACTCAGTTACCACGAGTGTTTTATTTCATTGAAAGTTGTCATCGGCATTTCCTTTGACAAAGTATGTTGGTTCCCTGTTTCCCTTATCATTTTTTTCTTCACTACATAGTATAAAACAAAGTCGTCCCCCTGTCTGTCTGTCCATATGTATGCTTAGATCTTTAAAACTGTGCAACGGATCTTAATGCGGATTTTTTAACTAAATAAATAAACCACTATTGCAGAGTACGGTGATTAAAGTATATGTTCATCACGGATAATAAAATATCTGTGACGAAGTGTAAAAATACGCACTGATTCGGATTTCGTTTGTTAATTACATTAACAATGATGATTCTAGTGATGTTTCGAGAACTCGTTGTTTTCTTTTTAAATGAATCATTCTTTTTTTTTTAACGAACGAACGGTAAAACGTAAAGAGGATTTGAAATGTGTTAGAGACGTTTAGCCCTTCTTTTATTCAAATAGTAATAATACTAATAATATTATAAAAATGTTAATTTTGTGTCCATATGCATATGGAGTGAAGCATTTTTATAATATCATTTTCATTTTAAGGACTCCATCCACGCAGCCAATTCAAGTGGTAACACCTACGTATCAAAGAAATGTGGATGAATGCATCAGTCAATGTCCCACGACGTCAGAGTATAATCCTGTTTGTGGAACAAATAGGGTGACATACAACAACTTAGGACGCTTGGAATGCGCGCGTTATTGCGGAGTCGGTATGTTTTCTATTATACGCTTATAGTAAAGTACAACAGCCTATATATAACCCGCTGCTGGACAAAGGTCTCCTCTGTACAGAAGGTATTAGGGCATAGTCCACCATGCGAGCCCACTGTGGATTAGCGGACTTCACACAGAAACATGATAGCTGATTGTTTCGCTTTAAATTCAGTACACTCGAGCAACTTAAGTTCGATCCCCGGTGCCGACACCAATGAAATTGTTAATTTTATGTGTAACACTGTAAGGAAACCTGCATATTTTTGAAATAATCACAAAAAAATATTTCGACGATGTAAAGAATTACATTTTCTCAATAAATTGCATAACCTAAATAAAACTTTATTAGACTATGAATCTTATACTGACCACCTTCATCTTTATCTCCTATATCTTTATTTTTTAACCTTTGCTTCACGGTTACCTTGGGTTGTTCATCTTTCGCAAGCTATTAAAGCTTCAGCAATCTTATGACCGAAGTAACAAAACAGTATGTATATAAATGCCTACTAAGGGTCATTACACGTGCATGCAGCTGGAATGTAGTATTTTACGATGCTCGTCGAAGAAAAAAGCCTCAACTCAGAAACACGATGATCATCGACCGCTCTTATAATGACGAGTTGGGAAATACAATGGATCCTGATTTGTAGCTTAAATTTCTATTTCGTTCTATATCCCTTAAAATGTTGAGTAAAATTTTGTGAAGGCATATCTTAAAATGTGCAGTTTAGCTACATCTTAAAGAAGATTTGATTGAAAAAAAAGAAACTGATATATAAAATAAAAACTTTAGTCGTTATTAACTTGTACAGAAAATTAATAGGGCTAATTTCTCCTGCTTATAAACAAGGTGTGCAACGAATAAAGCAATTGTGGTGCCCCTGAGAAGGTTTTATCCAGCCAGTTTATAAATAACATTTATCGCAAGTGAAAAGAAAACTATGTCCTCCTTCAATGAACGTATAATACAATATAGTTCTGACTATGTCAATTTCTCAGGTTTACATTTATTGCCATCAACATTTTTATTCCTTCTAGACGTAAAAGTACTTCGAAAGTTGCCTTGCTCATTGGTGTTCCAAGAGCAAAGCACCACAGAAGCCACTCAAACTGTTGAAGAGCAACGCCGGTGTATCCAAGACTGCCCCACCACACCCGAATACAACCCGATATGCGGAACTAACAACGTCACATATCAAAACAGAGGGCGCTTGGAGTGCGCCAAATTTTGTGGCGTCGGTAAGATTTTTTGTTTACTCTCACTTGTTCCAGGATAGATGATGGATGAGAAGAACGCTACGAAACGTCTGTTAAATATAGTTAGAAAATGTTAACACAGATTTAGCAATATGATGAGAAACAAGTCCTTTGGTAACATTGTGAAACAAAATAGTTATAAATCGCACTGATACATATATCATATTCGTCATAACGAATAACAAAAATTTAATGAATAGTTGAACAACATCCTGAATAAATTCTATATCCATTATAAAAATATTCATATCGTTCATTAAATTTTTTTTTAATTGTTACATAAAGCGTTCAGTCATTGGCTATCTTTGTCACAGAACTTACTCGTATAATAAACACCAATCTTTATTGCAGACGTAGAAGTGAAACGATTGAGCCCATGCCCCACACCAATCACAACTGAACCTCCGATCAATGAGGATCTCTTCAATTCAGATCAGTCACAATTCACAACAAGGGCAACTAGCAAAAGCGATACCTTTTCATCATCAACTATCGCTCCCGATAAGCCAAGCGTCACCATACCCCAAGAAATACTCAACGAAATCTTCAATATACCCACTGATGATTCAAATGATGTCGACATTGACATTAGAAAACGCGAATAAAAGGTTGAAGTAATGCTACAACGAAACTATTTAACAAATATAATGTTTGCATACACGAGCTTTGATTTTATTTCACTTACATTGAACTCGCTTGTTGGTTATTCGATATTGACCTACAAAACTATCAATTTCTTACCCCATCAGCCATAATCGTTATTGGAATTTTGGGTAGGGCCACGCAATAACCTCTTTTACTGTAGGAATAGACAGGCGTCGGTACCACGGCCTCACAGAAGACCATTATGGCGATCCATAGCCGCCGTGAAGTTCTTTTTTTTAAACATTGCCCTGGCTTTAGGATAACATTATCCTGTGTTGTATGGACGTTTTACAAACATAAATTGCACGAGGACACAAACGAAGATACAAAACAACTATCTGTGGGTCGCTCAAATAGTTATCCCGTGTGCGAATCGAACCCACGACCCCCGACGCCGAAGCCAAAACCTTGGCAACTGTGCCACAGAGTTATCAATAAGTGGAAGTATTATACTATCGCGTTAAGTCTTGTAGGTATATAGGCTGCGGACCTAACATCAGATGAGTCGCCTGCTAACTTTTCACATAAAAAAAATATAATTTAGACGAATTTGCGCGTGCGGCTTTTACCGACATTAGATTTTATGAAAATAGAATAAGTTATTTAGTAATAATTTCTCAGTCACAAAAAAATCGTCCTAAGTAAATCAAAGAATTTGGAATAGTATAAACGATATGAGTATTTAATCACCTTATTTCTGTTATTAGTCTCAAATTGAAACGCATATATCTCACGGAAAACCATAATTCGTGTTACAACCTTTACGTTCTACTGCACTTTTTTTTTGCAAGTTTCCTTTAACCGCATTCGTAAAACGTAGTTACCTTAAAGACAATCAAATGACTAATGGTGTTTCGAGGTCGGAATACAGAAAAACAAGTACTTTATGTATGTCTCACGCAATTATCAATACTATGTATAACCGTTAAAATAATTTCACGTCACTATTATTATGTAAAAGTTTATCGGAGAAGAACCGAAAATGACGGGTTAGTGTAAGACCCTAATTGCAGTCTGAGTTCATGGGTTCGAATTCTCTTAATGTACATACATTAAGAGAAACCCCTGTTGGATCCTGTGTACGGCGATAAGTTCATCGCCTACTAGGTTTTGGAATCTGACCAAACCATTGAAAACTGCGTAACCCGGATATTTCTTGAAAAACTCCATCACATGAATAAACAGTTCGTTTAAGCGAAATTGAAAAAATAAATTTTAAACTTACAATTTAAAATTACACCTTAGTAACGATTAAAATAGTGTTTTTATCGCAATAGATAAGAAATTATTAGTTCTATCATTTAATTTATTGTTTTTATAGTTTTAAGTAATTTACTCGAATGCAACTCGACAAAAAAGTTATTCATATTTGTTCAGCATTAATAAGTTTATATATAACAAATTGTAAGTAAACTGATCTTACATAACTCTGTAAATAATACAAATATGAGATATCCGATTCTGAGATGTCGCTCTTTAGAATAATTGAATAGTTCTTTTTTTCTTTAGAATACATTTATTAACTTCAGTATATCAAACAGCGCCTCTTTAGCTCAGTGGTAGAGCACTGGTCTCGTAAACCAGGGGTCGTGAGTTCAAACCTCACAGGAGGCAATCAAGTGATTTTTGCTTTTTTCCTGTTTACTTGTTTTTATACTTATGAGTATTATTCTATCGTATAATAAACACAGAATGAATCACAGATGTAGCTATTAAAGACCGTCTGAAATGGGTCTTGTCTCATAATCATAATCGAAGAATACATGTAATAGTAATAATTCTTTTTTCACCGCCCTTATTACTTTTACTTTTAAATAAATTAAGAAAACCATAAAGTCTTAGTATTTTAATAGCAACCATCACAATGTTCTTGCCGGAGCTTTGGACGGAGCGGGAATCTATAACAATTTAAAAGTGTAATAATCCGGACTATTTTATTGGTAGTGCCGTTATGACTCGAATACGGGTATGCTCTAGTATTACAAATTACAAAACAAGCCCCTATACTGGGTCGATCACTAACTATGTAATGCACAAGGCTTTAAACTGGTCTCACAAGGATCTAACTGTGTCCTCATTTATATTCCATTTACCAACTGTACTTATTACAATTCAGGACGTGTTGTGTGCCGATTCAATCATTGAGCAGTATAGATATAAGATCAGTCATCAGAACAATTTCTGTAGTAAGGCCACGCGACAGCTTCGGCTGTTGCACGAATGGACAGGTCCGTCCGGGTAAGTACTACAACCTCACAAAAGACCTGCGTGAAGTAGAAGAGTTATACTTCTACGTTTCGTCTGATAAGCGAGTGTGTAGAAGGTAACAGGATACCTCTTTTTAAAAGGTTGGCAACAGTCGTGCCGCCTCTGACTTAACGTCTAGTGAACTGCTTACACGTTTGCCATCTTCTCAATTAAACAATATTACCCCGTGGCACAGTTGCCAAGGTATTGGCTTCGGCGTCGGGGGTCGTGGTTAAATATAGAACGAGAAGGTTATAGTCAAATTAATGGTTATATTTCTTTTGTTAGGCTATAAAATAGAACAAAAGAAAAATAACTAAATATTTTATCCCCTGTGCCAGTATTCTGTATTCATGTGTTAAAAAGACATTAAATTCAATTGACAACGGTTCAATTATATAACCTAGACCAATTATAAACCATGGTTATGCCGTGAAGTTAATCGCATTTCACCCAACTACATCATGTCGCTGACGGTGTACGCGCACATATTATTTTTTTTTCCAAACGGGCTAAAAGAAGTATAACTTCAATAAAAATGTGTTAGTCACCTTTCTTTTTATCAATATGGCGACTTTACAATAAGAAAACGTTATTAACAAAAAATTCCTACATGAGATTAGTCAGCCCCAAATCCTTGAACAAGATCCGTCATTCACAATGGCTGAGTCTCATATATCCTATTGATTGAATGAGTAATGGCACTGCAAGCAACCAAGTCCTTTTGTAGACGTAGTATACCGAAAGTTGATAGTAATTGTTATTGTAGCCTTAAATAAACGACTAGGTGTTTGTTACAATATCTTATGTGATATAAGTTAATATATTATGGCACGAGGTCAGTCCTATTCTTATTTATCCCATTTTACATTAATTAATTCCTTAGCGACATTTATCCTATATTAAAATTAATAACATAATAACAAAGACAATAATAATATGAATTCTAACTACCCCGTTCTGTGAATATACAGCTAATTTGTTGTACGAACATATTGTTATATTTTATCAGTTATTATTCAACATATTTTCAGTATATCTTATGGTCTTAGCAAATTGAGGAATATATTTGTTGCTGTTGAGATGTACTCGTATCTATACTACACACAGAGATATTCTATTCTTCATGGAATCTAGTGTTCATAAGATCATACGAACAAAATATTTTAATGCGTAAAACTAACGGTGAATATCTCTGTAAGTCGAGTAGGCCCGGGTCTAGGGCGGTAAAAATTTCGGGTGCGGCAAATTATTTGGATGTTTTTTTGTACTCTCCACTTTCGCCTCTCGTACGCCGATCCGCGTAGGCGATATTCCGTAAAAATTATAATAAATTTAGCGGGCCTGATAAGTAAGTACCAATCGGCTTCAAGAACAGATATCATTTACTAAATTTCGTTGTTTTTTATTTTAATTTTATTTCACTTCATTAATCTATGTGCTTTACAGCAAGTAAGGGGGCGGCAATCTTTTTTGTACCTAGGACGACCAACGGATCAAGTTTGCCACTGCATAAAATTTTAAATAGTTAAAATATATTCCTTTGTAGTTCGCTTTTATTGTATTAACCATACACATAAATCCATAACTAGCAAATATTCTTTGTGATTTTGAACATGAAAATCATACGAAACAGTAAAAAAATAATATAAATAATGTTTTTGTGATGGTATGTTGTCTTATGATGATAGTTTTTGTTATTTTATACTAATTTTTATAGCTCGAACACGAAAGACCGCCATAGGCAAATAAGTAACAAATAGCTAGAAACTAAGAATTTAGCATAAGACACGGCCAGATGTAATATCTGTGCCCACATCTAACCATAACGGATTTAAAAAACACGCAAGTTTTAGGATCACTCACTGGACGTTTTTAGAACAGGGAAATGGGCGGTTAGAAACAATATCAATGAAAGCTACTTTTAATTTTTGAGTATTGTTGCATTCATTTGTCATTTGTTTTTGTGAATTAGCAGCAATTCCACAAGTCCTGTTGAATTTTTCCATAAGTCCTCAAAATTAATTTAACGCGAGAAAATGTTCGGTCCATGATTTATTGCGACTTTCATTGTTGTCTTACACATCAAAAACAAAGCTATGATAGACTTGGCATTAAATAATGAAGCCCCATCCCGTGACACTGTTTTCAATTGGTTTAATAAGTTTAAGCGTGGGCGTAGTAATCCCAGTGATGATCTGCGTAAGGGATGTTTAATAGCAACATCTGAAGTCAAAATCAATGCTTTGCGACGCATGATAGAGGGAGATAAGAGAGTGACCTACTAGCAGATTCGGGCTAGCTTAGGCATCGGTATAAGTGGAGTACAAAAAATACTACATGACCATTTAGGCGTTCGAAATGGACCACCAGATGGATTCCCCATACTTTATCCAACAGAAACGCAAAATGTTAGAGAAGATCAACGGAAGTGACTCTAATGGAGTATTTGACATCATCACGGGTAATGAAAGCTGGTTACATTGTTACAAACCCGAAAACAAGAGATAATCTGCTAAATGGGTATTTCCTCTAGACGATCGGCCAACTAAAGTAAAGAAAGGAAGAAGTCAAGGAAAAAAGATGGTTGCTTTGTTATTTGGTCGGAAAGGTCGTTTCGCACTGTCCTTCCATTTTCTAGCACAGTTGTGCTAGAAAATGGAGGGACAGTTACTGCAGACTGGGTATATTAACTATTGTTTGCCTGTTG